ATTATCTTTAGTAAGTATTTTTGCAATAAACATAAAACTCCCCTCCTCCACTTGGAATATGCATCACTAGTCAAATTTGCTGGAGGAGAAAAGATTAACCAATAGTGAGGGGCCTAACGCTGTTTAGCAGGGATTTGAATTCATCGGGTCTAATAAGGAACCTGTGGGGCACTTACACTTGCATTCAAAAACATTCTAATCATCTATATCCTATAATAAACAAACTTAAACTAATATCGCTTGGGGAAGAAATGTGGCCAAGGTGAAAAGAACCAAGCACCAATCGAGCCCTTTGGTTGTCACATTATCGCTCACACCTGATGGATTAATTTGGAGTCCCTCTGCTCTGAAGAAGCCTGGTACAGGACGGGCCTCTGTGACACTGTTTGTTGCTGAAATGTGGGAGGAGTTGGGATGAAAGCGAGCGGAGGTGCAGCTGCCTCTAAATCGCGCTTTAAAAGTCACTAAAGTACCGCCGGGAAAAAACAGAATAATCCTTTTCATCTTCCCTCCTTTTCTCATTTGGCGAACACTTTGTCACTCCCATTTCTCCCCATCTGTCTCTGCATTCTGCTCAGTTCTTTTGCTCTGTTCCTGTTGGAAATTTTAATGGTTTCCTGGGCTCAGAGTGAGACATTCTTTCACAATAATAACAACAGTAAGGGCCACTTCATGTGACCCTCTCATTGCTATGGCCAGCGCCGCATCAAGCCGGCAGTGTGTGTCTATGGGGAACACTTGGAAAGCACTTGATTGAATAAGATTTGGCACTGATGGTAGTGGAGCAGTGAGAATTCAGAATAAAGAAGCACAGCAGAACAGAAAACGACCGAAAGCGTTCTAAAACCACAAATTATGTTTTTAATGTACAGGTGCACACAACTGTAGTATAATATTTAGTGTTTATAAAAGTACTGACAAAAATGACAATCACCACCTTGTGTTTTTAAATTATACTTCTGGCTTAGTTACCTTTGTTGCTAAATCACTCACAGGAGTCACTCTTTGTAATGTGGGGGGAGTCTAAGTGTCTTGCCTAAGGACACAACAACAGTTTTTGCACATTTCCACTGGTGCACCTGTTTTTCCCAGAGGCCTCTGTCCAAGAACATTTGCCTCTAGTGAATAGTACAATAAAATTATGCCCTATGTTCAAAATGACATTGAGGAACATAAATCACTCTTAGTTGATCATATTATTTTTATTTCAGTCAGAGGGAACTTTGCACCTGCAGCTTCGCTTGTGAAAACTTGATTTCTTGTGGACCGTAAAAAACTGCATTTGTGACTTGAGGCATTTTTGACAATTGACATTAAGAACTTGATAACCTAGTCCGTGAAACTCTGCATTATATAACTGGACTGTTTATGTAAGCCATACAAAGACGCAGCATTGGATAAATATGTGCCAATAACTCGTCTGAGAATCAGACAAGGGCGTTTTATTTTTGGCTCAACTGTCACTAAATAATGATTGATTGAAGTAATAAAGCTAGTTTGAAATTGTATCAGAAACAAAAGAAGCATTTATACTAACATTTACACCTGTAGCAAATTGTCACAACATCTGGCACCAATAGAGGTCAATTTAAAAACAGATAGTTAATAAAAAATTTACAGCAAAATTATAGACTTTAATAGAATTGAAAATGTCAGGGTTAGGGTAACTACTATTTCTCTACACTTTGAATATTTAAGAGCAGGAGGAAAGTTGACATGTCAGCATTTCTGTGTCACACAAGTGTCACTCTGCCCCAGCTCAAACCCACAGAAAAGACCACAGACAGGTCTATAGAAGGGGGTGAGAGGAGGTGACGACCAGAGGGACAGAGGGCACAGAGGGCACAACCTCAGCGCTCATTTAGCGCCCGACAGCTTCACCTTCTGCTCCTTCTGTAGCTCAACATCACACTCAGCCAGAACCACAAGAGCACAAGCCAAAAGAGGCCGGAGCAGGATGTCACGTCTCGCCCCTCGGCCCACCAGCCAAAGCAGTAGGGTTCTCTGTGGGACGCACCGACCCTGAACAAAGACGAGGGTTTGACCAGGCCAAAACCCTCTGATCCTGGATGGACTCCAAGTCTTTGGGACATTTAAAGACGTTTTGCACACTCAACAAGACTGACTGGGCACTTAATAGCACTTTGAAAGCAGTGGCACATGGGGTGACCAAGTGGCATGTTATTAAAGAATTAAAATGGACTGTTGCGATATCTTTTAACATTCCAATATCTTCAGTCTATTGAGCGTGGTTAAGTAGACATTTTCAGATTCATTCATTCAACATTCTTTTCCTTTTTATTATTTTTTAATGTGCATAACGTGTGCCCGTAAATGGAATACATTGCATGACAAAAAGCACTAAACAAACACTAGCAGCAAAAGATGAATCTAAACAACTTTTAAGAGGCTAAACGGACAATAGGAGTCTCAGGTGGAGGCTCAAGAAAGTCTTACATTACAACTTCTTGTTTAAAAAATCCTGTTTGTCCATAAACACTATACAGAAAACGCCCCACAATGCACCTGGTGTCTGTTACACAAACAATGCACCAGTATTTCTCCTCAGGATAAGAGACTACTGTACAGACAATGGGCTGAAATTCCAGAGAGGAAACTCGTCAAAGAAATTTCTCATTTCGTTAAACACCACCTTTTCCAGCCACAATACACAGTAAACGTCCATTACGCAAAGTTTAGTTTGGTCAAACATGACAAACGTCTTATGAACAATGAAGGTTTTGGATTCATGTGTGAATACATTAGACTATAATATGTTCATGTTCAAGAATTACATTTCAGTTGGAGGGTACAACACTTTTTGAAAGAAATGCTGAGAAAAGACCAAACGTTCTGCCAGATTATCATTAGATAGTTATAAGACAAACAAATCATGATCTTTTTATGTCTGAAAGTCCTTTCGACTTTGGGCATCATTCTGCCCCTGGGCATGGTTTGGAAATCTCTATAGTAGAATAATAAAGTGCTGACAATAGGAAGTCACTGGTCAAAACACATTGTTTAAAAAAATTATTTATTGACTTTTTAATCCCTGTCAGAACAGCAGCAGGAGCAGAGTTCAGAATTGGAGGGAAAAATAACAATGAATTGGCAGAGAGTACAAGTCTGTTTTGAGTCTTGACCCGTTTATTACATCAATTAGAGTTGGAGCACCAAACTTTTTTCCATAAATACATAATGTTTTTCCCAACAGAAAAAGGATTGCGAACAAATCAGACCACAACAAGCTGTCATTATCTTATTAGAAAACATTTTATCTTTCACATACATTCACAAACCTATAATAGAACCAAACATGCATAGTTTTTCTGTTGTTTCAAAGTGAATGTCATTTACTTTTCAAAATGCAAAGAGAAAAAGCCAATTTCCGAGCAAGTTGCAGATAGACTCCTTTGTGCTCACCCTCACAGCCACCTGATCGGGCAAAAGGATTTCTAATTTTTACCATTAGTCAAACTATTCTCCTCCAGCAAATCCTACTGGCTGTGGTTTTGCTCTAGGGACTAATACTTTTTTGAAAAATATACATCAATAGACATCACCTTTGAAATTAAGGTAATACAGCCTTAACATCTGAAAAATAAGGCATGTTTATATTTATTGAACAATATAAGAATGTTGTGACAGCCATTAGTACTATGGCCGCACATGTTGTGTACAGGATAAGCACAGGGAGCAGGGGGAAGCTGTGAGGAGTGGTGTCGGAGTGGAGTCCAGCAGAGCGCATGAAGTGCTGCTGTTTAGGTCTGCATAAAAACATGCCTTAGACCTCAGCTCCAGAAGGTGGTTCAGCTCAGTACAATAAGAACCTCACAGAGGGGCTGTGAGGGACGCCACAATAACACAGTATGAAGGCGCATTAATGAACTCCAGAACTTAATATGCAAATGCCGAGAGACACTGAATGCTCTTGGCGGTGTGCAAAAGGTGGGAACCGGGCAACCTCCTCACCCTTGTTCAGAGCTTCTCCGCGAGTGTACAAGTGAAGAGAGGGGAGGAGAAAGGACGCATACATGAGGACAGATATGGGGTGCAGATGGAGGGGGGGAATACATGCCATCACATGGGGGGCAGGAGCTGGGGTAACAGAGCTTCCAGACAAACAGTGAGATCCAAATTCAAAAACATGCAGACATAAGCAGGCCCATATGCAGAAACTGGGCAGAGGAACAATGAGAAGGATTCCCTAAAACAAGATGTAAAGGGATGAAGAGAAGTGGCAGGCAGCCATAAGCCTCTACAAGACGTCCCAACCACTCCAGGCAATCGATGGGAACATTTTTATTTACACAGAAAAAGAGGAATTAATGAATTATTGAGACAAAAGACGAGATGAAAGACGGCTCAATGCTAAACTAATGGGCAGAAGAGCTCTAGTTTGTAAATGAAATGTGCAGCAAATGGTATTTTAGTATATAGAGTTGTATTTGTGTTAAGGTTGTTAAAGAATGAAGGACGCAAATATATTGTATGTATACGTTGAATGCATTAAGTGATTTTATTGTGGATCAGTGTGGAGCATAATTGGGCTTTATACATCACATACACAAGGCCAAAAAATATGCAAAAATTAGCCTTGAGATTGGGCTGGTGTGGTGTTTCCCTAAAGTTGAGGACACATTGCGCAGCTTTTCCAGAAGATAGATCCAATGCATTAGTTTGTACTGTATGTGTTTATGTATGCTCCATATGCAAGACATTCACACTGGAACTGGTTAAATTTGTAAGTCACTGACGACTGATGGTGGAGTGACCTCTTCCTCAACCTCTAATGTCTTCTGCAGCCTCGTCTCCCGTTTCGACTAATTACGTCACAGTCTGGGTTTAGGGTAGAATGTAGACAAACTTGTTCTAATTTGTTTAAACAGTTCTGACTATGCTCTCAGTAAGGTTCTTAATAGATAAAGAATAGACATATTTAAGACTATAGATTTGGAATTCCAACTATGCCCATGACCATCAAGCAGAAAGGTGCTTACCTTGTAGCGCATTTTGGGACAGGAGTGGATGTAGAATCCCAGGTAATAGTAGCAGAGCTTGGGGGACTGTTTCTGCAGCTGTCTGGTGAAGGCAATCTCCCTGCAGCGAGACACACAAATATGAAACACATTTTTAGAGGAGCCGTTTTCGCTTTTCAACATTGTAGATTCCTATAAAAAGAGCAGCTCCAAATCCTTCAGAATAACTCAGATGGAAGCAGATAGCTGCATTGCAGAGATAAGAAAGACACTGCATGTCTATAGTATGTTCGTCCGATATTCTCCAATTGCTTACTCTGAAGCACATAAATCCACCAGCATGGGAATCTCATCATAGAATATAAGTTTATTTTGTAATTGTGAGGTGCCCAACAAGGAAATACAGTTCGCTACCCCTCGGGTCAGACATCACATTTGCACATTGACTTGAGTAAAATCATGGACTAATGGCTTTCATGGGTGTTAAAAGTTGAATGTTGAGCCACTGTCATTTGCACTGCCATCTTTTTCCTATAATTTTATTTAATGTACCATTTACAAATGTTTTGATGAAACAAGGTGAGATTCACAGCAATTTTACATTGAAAGAGGAAAAAATCCTGAGGGGCAATGTATTGAAGTGTTCATGCTTGTCCCCTCAATTTCTGTAAGGAATAGTGAAGCCACATTCATTATATCTAGTTATAATTGGTTGTTGTTCACAAGAAGCAATTTGAATCAAACTGACATCAAGAATAGCTCGACAAATATATAGCGGTACTTAGAAAACATGCTACTCAGACAAGACCAGGCAATACTCTTGGAGAGGCCAAAACACAGGTTGAAAATGTTCCAATGTGCAGCAGCAGCTCGATATGTACTTAAAACAACTTCTCAAAAAGATAGGTTCAAGAGTGATTGAAAAGTAAGTAAAAACAGTGATTTGTTATAGTCTAATGGTAATGGACAAATAAGAATGCTGTTGCAACATACATAAGAATACTAATACTATATAAATTATAGAGTGGAAAAAACATTCAACTCTGAGGAAGTAAACAGTCTTTTCTCTTAATTTGATTCCATTACACAAAAACAACTGCTTCACACCCTCCACATGGAGCAGAAAGAAGGTTGTGAAAGCAGCTGAATCCTTTAAAATAAAGATTTAGAAGATGGGAGATTTACGCAGCGTCTTCAAATACAGTAAATGTCCTGCCTCTAATAGTCTCTCTCTTAATTGCATCCTTTTCCTTCACGTTTCCACAACTAAATTCCAGTGGCCTTTCTTTTCCTCTTTTTGTCCCACTTCTCTTTCCAACCCCAAAACCACTCAATTCCCCTATTCTTAGCCCGCTTAAGAGCTAGGGGGAGAACAGAAAATAAAATAGTGAAAAATAAGGGACAAAGCTTACTTGGGATGTGGGGGGAGAACAGGGGTAGGAATATAAAGCAGAGGGAGAAGAGGCAGCTAGATCGAGGTGCTAGAAGGTCACCCGCTTGCTGCCAGGTTCCTGGGTTCCCATCCCACTGCCACAAAAGGCCTGAATGGACTAGAGGGGGTCCCAGAGAGGAGAAGGGCTCATTCACAAAAAGACAGCCCCCGCCCGACACCCCCACAGCAGCAGCTTGAGTCCGCCATTATCCCCTCTTCAGCCATCTGACACGGCAGCACAAGCCAATTATCAAGCCCTCTGCTCCGGACAGCTCCCCTCACACCCAAAAAGGGCCGGAGGAGTGCATACCAGAAGGTGCTCGCTGCATAGGAAACATTTCATTACAACTGCAGATGACAATGTGTGATTCAATTGTGAGGAGGAATAAGAGAAGCTGAAGATTTTAATTTTGAAAACAAGCGCAAGGAGTTATGTGTGCTGAATGCAAATAATATATGGTGGAAGTATGAGGAGTACATATTAAACCTGTAGTACCTCACTTTAAGAAATATATATTGTTGTGGTAAAAGTAAAACGTTGAAGATAAAATCAGACCACAACATGCCTCCCTAAACCTATTTTGAAAACATACTTAGCCAATCAGCTCTCAATCCAAAGTGTAAAATCGTGACTCTCGAGGGCTGAGAGGAGGTGGGGTTCACTTTCTCCTGAAAAATCTGATCTAAAGATGAGAGAACATGTGTATTTTGTATAATTGATAGAAGCAAACTTTTGTGAGCGAGAGACTAGTTAGATGTATTTCATTACATAGTTCCATTTCTATGTAAAATGTAGGCACCCCAGGTTTAAGCAACATAAAATGGTGTCAAGCTCAAAGTCTTGCATCAAATCAAGAGGTTTCAATACATTAGAAGTCAGGAGATTTTTGGGGTTGAGACCACAGCAGCGCATATGAGGGACATCGCAGTGAAAGTGATCCAGTGTGGGAGCCAGCTGTGTTCCCTTTACTCTGCCTTTGGCTTTTCTTTATGTCGTGCTGTGGCTCTACTCCTCCTGTTCGCTCGCTCTCCTCCTCACTCTCTCTCCTCCTCCGCGCTCTTGTTACCCCTCCTCCACCTATTTTCATCCTTTATGCTCTGTGCTCATGGGGGAAAAAAGCTAGAGTTTTCCAAGAAATCTCTCAACATCTCCCTCTTCTGTTTCTTCAAGTGAAATACATTGAGGCCTATATCAGACTGAACGATCGGCAAGAGGAGTGAACGCTTTGGAATTGTAAAAAAGGGCGTAAAATACTAACACCAATAAATAAAAAAGGGTTTACACAATATAGAGGCCTTCAATGTTTCAGGTAAGTAATTAATAAAGAGGTTGTTACTGTGCATTGTTCATCCAAGTCCACAGCGGGGACATTTCAGTGTTGCATAACCAGTTGCAAAACAGTAGGAATGAAGAGCACATCGTATAAGCTAAAAAAAACAACAATAACTTGATACAATTCTATAAACTATACTGACTAAAGTAAAATCAACGTTTTGATTCAAAGAGTAGAAACCTTTTCGGGTGGGTTTGTTTAGAACACATTTTCAATCAACACATTCAAGCAAACAGATTTACAAGCAATTAAAGTGAATTCACAAGCCAAAGACAACTTAGTCCACATTGAGCCTGTTGACGCTGCGTATAAAAGGCTTTTTGTACTTGTTTGCAGGAAAACATGATGTTGACAATTTGAGCAAAAGTATTAAGCACAGATTTGACGGACTTTGGCAAAATGTCTTGGGAGTGTCCAGACTGGAGGGAACAGTAAACAACCAGAGGATTTCAAACACTTTTCCAAGACGTGAGAGCGAATACCACAGGGGATTGTGGGATGTCTACCAAGCTTTCCCTCTAGAGAGCCAGATCAGGGTTGCTCTGACGATGCACGTTGCAACTCCAGTGTTGGTTCATCTGTTGTGTGTTGTGTATTGTTATTTCAAGTTACTCTGCCACTAGGACATGATTTATACATAAAAAAAACTGTTGCATTCGTTTGCAATATCAATATTGCACATGTCATGATCATGAGCAATATTTTTTATACATTTTAAAACCCCAATTGTCAATAGTCTCGATTAAAACTCCAAAAGCAAATCATTGACAACAAAAGCAAGCAGAGCTACAAGCTTTCAAGCATCTACAGATTAGCAATCAAGATTCCCATGCAGGATTACCACCACATGCCCATCTTTGAAGTCTTTTTCACTGCTCTTCATTCGTACAGTCGTACAGCAATGTTTTAAAATCCTCTCACACATTATTGGGTTACGTTACACAGGAAAAGATGGATGTGTGTCGTGTCGCCTGCGTGTGTGCGATCTACTGTTACACTTTGGCACTAGACTGAGCCGTCAGCTGAACCACAAAACCCACCCTGCCTTCCCCCAATCTGGGTACAGCTCTGGAAACTATACAGCATTTATAGTATACAGTTGTACAAAGCAAGAATTTAAAGGAATGGGAAGATCAAAGGATGGCGTGAATGCATGAAAAGGCTGGGGCATGGGTGAAATGAGGGAGGATTTTAGACTAAAAGGAGAAATATAGCTTTTTTACAACTTTTTTTTTACATTTGCACCAGCTAAATAGTTGTGGGAGGCAATTGTGCATTTGTTTTATAAGCTTCAGACTGCATGGCTTAGAAGCTCATTTGAGATTTATAGCTAAAAGGCAGACATCATATTTTTTCTTGGCTGAGCAGTTCATTTTTTAAAACAAAACTGGACGCAAGAACAGACTCAACACTAACGTTGATGACAGATGTGGGCCCCAATAAATACCGATATATCTGCTGTATTAAATAAGCTACCAGCTGCTCAGCACACCGTTATGACTGTTATGGTCGGTGGAAATATGCCATTAATGTTTGAGGATAGCTAGAAACAACATTGTATGGATTGTGTAATATTTACAGTGTATGGTTGTACTTTAATCCCTATAAGACTAAATGTTATAATCTTGTAATGTTTGACTGTATTCAAAGCTTATAGAACAAATACAACTCTAAATGGTGGCGCAAATTAATATAGTAGTTTGATAGTTTACTACGATGTCCATTATTATTATTATCCTCACCACTTCCCTTTGAAACCAGGGATACCTCTCAATGTTCATTCTTATGGAACTTAAAATGCTGAGGCCTCAAAGTCAAAAAGCCTAAAACTTAGAAGCCATTTTACATAATTCTAACCATTTGAAATATCAATTGATGAGTCAAACATTTCTTATTATCAGCGTTCTCAAACTTAAGTAGCTTCTGGGGGGTGATGTGAATACAATGTACATTAATTCCTATCTTAATTAATGATGACATTGAAATGTTTGCAGCTACCGACAAAAAGTATATCTCACAAATGGCATAGGACAGAAGCCCCTGGGATCAAAGAGTGGATTGACATGCCCTCATTATAATGTAAAGGATTAAAACTTAAATAAAAGTCTGATTTATGTTAGTAAACAATCGTCATAAAAGACATAAGTTAAATGGTATGTGGTATTGCAAATTTCTATTTTTCTATTCTGTGACCATTTTCATTACTTTTTATGCTTGTATGTAAAAGAAAAATCAAACAAAAACTACATATTACTAATTTTTTAAAGAGAGACCCACCTGAGAGCAGAGTATGAGCCCAGAGATAGAGAGGCGAAGTCTGGGTCGTAGTACAGGTACACGGAAGACACACAGGAGGGCAGGATGTCTATAACTCCCACTGCAACTATTCGCCCATCCAGCCAGTACTGCTGATGGAAGGAGCCATAGCCCACCTCTGGCCCATCGTCCGAATGTTCAGCCTGGAGAGGGACAGAATCAAAACTGGTCAGCTTTTGATTCAGTAGTGATTTTAGAGCCACATATTATGCGATTGTAATTACTGTATGATTAAATCACATAGTTACCATGCTATTATACACCTATGTACACCACTGGTAAAACAAATAAGAACATTCAGCTTTAAAAAAAAACCAAAAAAACAATCCATACAGAAATGAAAAGGAAAAAAAGAACTTGATATTGTCGATTGTGTTGGTGATCTTGTTTATTTACATTGCTCTTCTTAGGGTCAGGGACGTGCGCCGTGGAGAGCTCTATATTAGACGATTTGCTGTAAAGAAATCTTGTAGCCACTATATTTTTTGCCGTCGTAAGCCCAGGCAAGAGAACCCATAACATAATAAGACTTGATGAAAAAAACTAATTTCAGGATGAAACCAGTAAGGAGGACAAAACAGTAGGTTATCAAGACATGTGCGATGGAAATGGATAATTAGAATGTGATAGGGTAATGAATTCATTAGCTCTATACAGTATGTTTTGGAGAGCAGGCACAGACTATTACACCAATACACGTTGACAACTCTGTCATATAGGGGAACACTCGTCACTGTTCAGTACAATAGTAGCACTCTTGTGAGCAGTAGATTGAGGTCATAAAGTATATGAATCACAAAGGAGTGAAATGCAGTGTTTTATGGGACCATTTGAGTTTGTGGAGCAGATCTGCCACACCTGTATGATTATGGAGTATTATATGCCGGTTTCTTCCCTTGCCAGGCCTCACGCATTATGTGTGTGGGGGTGTACAGTAGCTTCACTTTCTGTCCGCTAATGGCTCCCAAATGTGCAGAGGCGGGACGGAGGGGGAGGGGGAAGGTGGAGGCGACTGACCACCAAAACACTCCAGGAGGGGCGTTTTTAATAAAAGACCCCGGCATGTGCACAAGACGTTTTAGCGTGCGGCCCTAGTGGAGGGCTGCCAAGAACTATCCTGTTCACTCTAAAACCAAGCTAAAGAAATCCATATGGACAGGAAATTCTTTGCTTAACTCCAAATATGTTTCCCTCCAAACACCAACTATTTAATTTGTTTGCAATTACAGAAACTAAAATGACTAGAACTGGCTTTATACTTTACTTGAATGGATTTTGAATTAGGAAAACATTTGAAATCTGTTTGAAAAATACCAAAAACAAAAACATTTGTGGGGGAATTTCTTTTGATGAAAATGTTTGCATTTTAACTTGTTTTGTATTAATTAAATTGCTGGGGAAAAAAACAAGAAAATATAGACCTGATTTCTCAATTTTACAGTGCATGTCTCTCTCCATGTGGTACCTTCAAATACACATTAATAGAACCGTTAAGTGCTTGACACACTTTTCATTTTACGCTGGGATCCACATGGAGCGATTTTTCAATCAAGGCAGGCTTTTATCAGGGGCTCACACAGGAGGGGCACAGGTTAAAGATCACGTATAAGCGCCGGTATTGCATCTTTCTTCAGTGTCGGGAGTAACGGGACCCTCGCGTTCATATGGACCTGGTTAGACCGCACAGACGCTGCTAGTTATCACAGCCCTGCACTACTGAGCCTAAACTCTGACTGAATTAAACCTGGCTAAACATCAACAAGAGCGCTCTATACCTGCAGCTATACAAATATATGGGCTTTTATGCTGTCCGCTGAGGTGACGACAAGATTATGGTGGAGTCTGCGGGGGCTGTTGCTTTTCAATGCGTCTTTAGTTTCACATGTGGCGCAAGCATAACTTCTTGTTCACATATTGTACTTCAATAGCACCTTCACGTATATTCAAGAGTTAAAAAGCAATATAGTTTTAAATAGCAAGTTTATGAATTGCATATAATTTCAAAAGAAGACTCATTGTGATTCTGTTTGTTAAATTTAAACTTTTTAGTATAAGAGAGCACCAAGAGTATAGCGGTCTTGTCCAGGTGCCCACAACCTGCTTCTGGTAAATTAGGTATGACATGTCCATAATGATTCACTTTTGATGGAGCTGAAGTTGGCTGAATGACAAATGGTTACTTTCTCACCAGCTACATTAGTGCCATATACAGAAGGTTGGGTTCAGGTTGCGATCACAAACAAAATGGCAGTATAGTATTCAAGAGCTTTACAACAAATATAGCATGCCAATATTTACAGAGCTGAAGTTGGCTGGATGACACTGAACTTATCTCACTGACTACTTGGAGTTGGCAAGGAAGTCGGCTACACACAGACCGCCATGATTGCCTGGTTATAATCCATGATACCTTTGGATCTAGACATTGAACTAAAGGGTCTCAATATTGATCTAAGGCAATTTGATCAATGACATGTTCTGTGTACATTCATTGAAAGCCGTCTGACCCTTAATCACTCTTATGACCCTTAACAACAACTTGGAGTGGGTGAAGAGATACAATCATAAGCCAGAAAATCTGTTAAGTATTTTTGGTCAATTGAAGTTCTTTCATTAATGAAATCCAATTGAGATGAATATAACATTACTACAGAAAAAAGAGCTGGACATTAGGCAACAAAATAATAATGACATCATACATATTGACAGAAAAGTTACGCAATTTTAGTTTGGAGATACAATATCCACTGCCAATTATATAGTTTGAATGGATTCAACCGTGGACTACAATTACTATGATTATATTTATACAAATGCATTTGTTGGCATTGATTTGTGCTCCCATCTGCAGCACTTAGAGAGGTACGGTTCTGGTGAGGGACCTGTTCATTCTGAAAGCCCGCTGCCTGTTATTCTTCCCCCGCACGAAACACTGCACACTTTGTCAGCGTTTTAAATCCAGGAGTGTGGGCTTTTACTTCTGTCAAAGGAGGCATGTATGATTTTTTTTTAATGGCACTTTCTACATATTTGGACTAAAATGTGAATCGGGAGGCGGGGGAGTTAACAGCTGCTTTTGATTGTATATTTGTAACTTCAAACCATTTTAAAGGCAGATCTTGAGTGACCGACCGAGACCTCACCTCAACATGCCGCCTTAATGGTTGTGTCCTTGCCACTGTGACAACAATCTAAACATTTTCAGGAACATTTTAAACCACCCAGAGCTTCCCCCCCATCACCCCAAATGGCTCACATATGGCCTCGCACTCAGCACGCCATCACTGCAGTGCCTTATCTACTGTGAAAATAGGTAAAGTCTGTTCTGTTAGTTTGTTTTGTGCGCAACACAGCACCCATACTGTGAAGACGTGTCAAGCAGTGAGTTTCCTGTGACGCTTTCTAGTTGGTACAGAGAAAGAACACGAGTATATTTGCTCAGGATCCCAGTCATTTCGTCTGTCAGTCAAATACAAGGTATAGAAAGAGCCATTTGGAACCTGGATTGAAGGTAACAGCAGTTGTCAATGAATAATGCATTGACAAAACACATGGCATCCATTGGACAGCAAAAAAAGTTGAATTTAAAGAATTATTTATTTATTTTTTTTAAAGGAGAGAATATGGTTAAAAGCTGAAAGTTATTACGCATAAAATGTATCTAAATTTACAGGAGAGTTAAAAAATTGCTCATAATTGCCAGAAACAAAATCCAGTTTGAAGTTTAGTATCCATCCATTGATGTTGATCCTCTTAAGATAGAAATAAAGTGGGTACTTTCTCCTGCTAGGTAGTTAATGCAAATGGTCAGAATATTTAGAACTATTAGTTCATATGAGAGATTCAAAGTGACGTGGTGAGTGTTTGATAGTGTGCCACGGGTAATTTTATAATTGTTGCCATGAGCAAAGTGACAAAATAATTCGGTGCAGATTAAAAGCAAGTACCAGTAATTTAAACTTCACTTCTAGTGATGGGCCAAAACTGGAAAAAAAGAGAATGTTTGAGGACCATTTACATGTGAAGGATAGTATCAAATCTGGTCTCATAATTAAAATGTACAGTACAAGATTAATAAGAAGATGAGAACTATTTGAAGAAATTGCCGAGCCTCATGATGCATAGTCTCTAAAGAGAGTCCAGAAAAATGGTGTGCCGTGGTGTGGCAAAGGATCATAAAAGCGCAAGAACTAATTGGCCCACACCCTGTTAATGAGTGTTTGCCCTTTGGTGAGACACATACGGAGGCTATAAAGAGTGCAAATAGAAGCCGGATGGGTGCATGAACTTGGCGCAGTCTATAAAGCTTATATCAGTATTAGCACATAAGAGTGGAAGCTGTACTGTATTTTAAATGAATGGACTTGATATCAAAACAACTACATTATGAGCTATGATGCAACTACAGTCTGCAAAGACAAAATAAATAGTATACAGTATTTTTGTACTGTCATGTTTTAGAGTGTGAAAATAGAGTAAATAATAAAATCCAAATTTGAAAATTACCAGCTGCAAACACAGTCCTGTGATTGCAAAGAAAATAATTTTCAAAAATAATTTAAGGGCAATACTTTTGTTTTAAAAGTGCATAAACCTGCTCTGAATGTGATGTCATAGTGGTACAAGTACTACATACTATAACAGGGTGACAGGTTCTTTTAGATATAAGAGGACAGACATTCCGAATATTAGTGATTGGATGGATCTGCTTTAGAAGAGGGAACAATGAGGTAAGCTAAAAAAAAAAAAAAAAAAAAAAAGGATTTTGCATAAAATGTCAAGCTTAAGAGTTTAAATGTGGGTCCTAATTGTATATGCCTCAGTCTAAAGGCAAGAATGAGGTGGAACATTACCATAATTGCTAACGGCATGAATGCGTCAAATCTGGAGATAGGCTGTTATCATTCAATATTAGGACGTGGTTCCTCATGAGAGATGAGGAACCACACATTACGCAGGTCCACAAGTCGAGAGTGTGTATACTAAAGTCAGGCAGATTGAACACAGATGCAAGCAACTCACAGTTACAGCCAGAACGTGTAATAATAATGATACATTTCAGGCAACGTAGGGGGACTCCAAATCTGACTAACAAGCAACACAAGAAATAATAATGGATAAGAGGTAGTGCTTCTCACAAGCTAAATAGTTGCCAATGTCCACAACTTGGTATTAAACAAGTGTCTTACAATTATTTCATTGAATATAGTCTGTGCTTGCATATGGTTCCAGTGTCATCGTGTTGTATCCAGTAGTATATATGGCTGGGTAAGTAATAGGTAAGTCCAAGTCCATCATAGTGTCTCCGTCTAATCAGTGGAAATGGATCGGATTGACGTTTTTGCCAAATATAGAAATAACAAATGCTTCTGTAGTAGTAGTTTGATACTCATGATTAAAGTGTTGGAATCGTGTCAGTGTGTGTGAGAGCAAATCTGTGTAACTTGGAGCGCCTGGCCACCAGTCTTGACGAGGTGATAAAAGCTTGTTTCCTATAAACACTAATGACGTTCATTAGAGAGGACTGGAGGGGCCAGAGCAGGGTCCTACACGGTAACGGCGCTGATCTCTCTTTTTATGACTGTTGATTCCAGACTTAATAAAAATCAATGTTTAATTATGTCTATTTCTCAAGTAGAAGTAATTGTCCTGTGTTGCCAGTACATAGGGTAACTGATTATTAGGTTACAACAGGGCACTGAGGTGAGCACTGACCCCAGCTCTGCATCTCACCACAGAGAAGCCACAGCTAAACCATTAAGCCTTTAAGTATTCCCATATTTTTGATGAGGCAGCCAAAGAAATGTGCGGTTATGGAGGGATGACCAAAATGGTTTATGCAATTACTAGGATAGAGAGGGTCACTTTCCAAAATAATGTTATGTTGCCATGGCTACTTTTGAATCATTCCTCTCACAACTAATTTTACCAATTGACAATTTTGTTCACTTGATTAATAAGGCAAATTAATTACTTATTTTAGGGATTTTTATTTATTTATATTCATACCCAATATATTTTGCCCTGCATAATGACTAATGCATCATCAATACCAATATTAACATGCAAATAACAATAATGAAAGTATGTATTTTCTTCTAATTTTTGAAAATGATCCAACTTAAAACATATTACAACAGAGCACAGGCAAATATTGATAGTGACAACAGATCAGAGGCAAATATTGATACCAATACATTGCACATCAGTAATGAATAATATTAAGTCTGTCACAACAGTCGCCATTGTGACTTCAATAGTAATTGCTCTTCAATGATGGATAGTACAGCACATTTGGAAGTTTTATTCTCTTTGTAGTATGGAACTTGAAAGTAGATGATTGAATAACAACATTGAATAATAACTTCTTATTCTTGTACTTCTTACATTCAGTTGGAACCACAGAGCAGCTTTAAACACAATGTATTGTCTGCCGCGTGGCTTGATGCTTGAATGTACAGTTTGAACCGGAGCCACAAGAACCATCTGTTGGGGTCCAGAACAGTGCCCACAGAGCTGTCTAATCAGCCTTTAATTTGCAGCCCACCACCCAAAGTGAGGAGCCGAATGTCCCGCTGCAGTCAAAGCTGGGGAAAGTCAACACAGCCTCAGCACAATCTGGACGCCACATTTCACTGCTCTGCTCCATCACTCGCACATCGCAGATCACGGAGCTACAGTCAAAATAAATCAAACAAGACTTGACAAGTTGGCAAACAGTGCAAGGCAGAGTGTAATAATATAATATAGAGATTGCTAAACCATAAAAATATGTACGACGATAATACAGAGTAAAGATCAAAATACATCACTAGTATTTGATCTTTGAAGTATTGAATAGATAAAACCCTTTATAAAACCCTTCTGTAATGATTGTTCTCACTTGGATTATAGAAATATCAATTTAAATGTGTCTACAAACTACTTTCATATGGTATCATTACAAAATAGTCCAGTTGTTCAATTTTCAATTTAATTCTGTTTATTTTTTTATATAGCTCTAAATTACAACAGCAGTTGTTGCGGAGGACTTTACGTGAAGGACGTTGATTACCAACAACAGATCAGTTCAAACCATAGACTGTATATATTAACGGACAGAGTCACGCCTATCTCCGCCGTTCATAGGAGTTGGCCATGAAAAGTGCTTTCATGGAGCAATCCAAGATGGCCGCGAGTGCTCCCGCCCACAAGAAAATTGTTAAAAAACGCATCTGCGCATTCGTCAGCCGGCGCAGCTCCATTCATTTGAACGAGAGACTTCAAAAATTCCCCGTGAGTAAACTAGAGTGGACCAAAAAAATTCACCCCCCTCAGCATTGACACACATGTGGAACGGAGCTTTGGGCCAAGAGCCAACTTTTGGTCCATCCTGTAAAGACGTTTTTGACAGGTCTGCCAACGCTATATGTTAGCATTGGTTAATTCTTCTTCTGGGTCCACCCCCAACGGCCCGGGGTGGTATTGCAAGCATGTCAGCGCACGTCATTTTGGCCACTTTTGAGCTGGGACCCTCCCCCACTGGTTCAAACACACAAAGGCAATAATATCCTTTGAGGTCTGGTTTGACACCCCTGCCTTAAGCCTAGCGTACATCGGACTGGCAACTGATTATATCCGTCGCCTCTGAGTTGCTGCCCCGCACACATCGACAATCTGGCGAAAACGGGCAACTCTGAGTCGCAGGCCAGTCTCTTGAATAACAGCGCGTACATCGACAGCAACTGGCCTCAACTACAGTGTGTTTTCTGACAACAAACTGTTGCGGGCTCGCAATACACGCAATACACACACGTTGTTGGAGCGGCGCATGGAGCGCGCACATCGGGGCAACTGAGGACAACTAGTTGCCGAAAAGTAGAACACGGGCAACTGACTGGAACTGGAGACCGACTGATCATCTCCAGTTGTAAGAGCGCGCACATCGACCGATTTCGGCAACTGATCATCTCCCACCATCTGCTCTCAGTTGCCAAAAGCCGCCTTGCAACTAGTTGTCCCCAGTTTCTCTGTCGATGTACGCTAGGCTTTAGACCCTCCTGCATCTGCAAGGAACAACTCAAAACCCAGTGAGAAAGTTGTTGATATTGATTAAAATGACCCTTGTTTACCAAGACTTAAAATTTCAGACCAACATGTTATGCATTTCATCACAATTTCACCAACTTTGAGATCAACGCAAGTCTTCATGATTGTGAGGTTTGGCGAATCTTAAAGACCAGGTCCAGAAATCTATTCTTGACTACGTTATGGGTTTATAAAGTAGTAATTGGTATTGTTTGTTTGCAAGAATCTACAGTAGGTATCAAATCACAAGATAAAATGTAATCAAACATGATAGATAGATGTGTTTGGAAAGTTGTACTGAGTATCACCCATCTTAAAGCCTATGCAGACAATGAAACTGCTGTTGCTTTCATGTTTCCATATTACAGGAAAATCACTGGCTCCACCATAATCCTCAGCAGTACAAATGGCCTTAGTACCATGCGCTCTCCCCACGCCACATGTGAAGCACCACTGGCATATACATAAATCTTCTTTTGTCAGCGCTTGACAACACATAGTAACAGAACAAGTGTGTTTAACGGGAAAAGGAGATTTACTTTCCTTTATTATATCAATGACAGTAATTATGGCAGGAAGACCCTTTCTGGGCCAGGGCATGTCATTACAGGCAACACCCATGGCTGAAAAGAGACTTTAAAAAAGGTTTTATTAGGCTGTCAACAGGATATACATACCTCGAGTGGCGAATCACATAGAAATCTCCGGAACTGTGGAAAGAGGAGAGAGAGAAAAACAGTTAGCTCTCCGGGTCACCAACTTCTTTGAAAAAGGCACAAATGAAAACCATGCACGCCACTGTGGCTGTCCAATTTAGTCTATCCCTCCTGCTATTCTTCTAAGTCAGGTGTCACATGTCGAAGGCTGCCCCTCATTGACAAAAGGGGCACGAGGAGGAAGAGTGGTATTTACACAAGCGAAAACATTTAGGCTATCAACTAGTCGAAAGGCTTACGACCCAGGGAGGCCGCAATGACAGCTCAAATAAACCAAGTGTGGCCAACGTTAAAATAGCTTTACTGCCAAACACATTTGCAGAAACGCACAGCAGATTTCAATTACGGGAGAACTTTATGTGCGTGGAAATTCTTGTTTTTCTCTTTCGTGCGTTGCCTTTTTACGGCTATGGTTTGAGAGCAGTGAATTTTCAGGGATTAAAGGCCGAACTGCTGCGTGTCTCCAAGTTAAGGGCCAAAACCTTTTTATATTGCGAGCCGAGGAGGCCAAACAACAGGAGATGGACAGTTTTGGGGTTTACGTATTTACGGTGTCATAGCGGCACGAACTCTGCAACATAATCTGAATTTATGTTTCTCCAGGAATGCTCGAAGCGGGGCGATTTTGCACATTGTTGACTGTGGAAATGATTCAGTGCGTGAGTGTTGTGAAAGCCGCGTAAACAAAGGAAGTGGAGAGTCCAAGAGAGACAAAGTGATGTAAACCGATACAGACATCTTTAAACTGTGAAATATGGGCATCATGCATGATCAGCTCCAACAAGCAACCACTGGTTTTATGAGGGTTCACGGTCACTCCCCCTTTTCCACCTCATTTGCAAAACTGTACTACAAAAACAAAAGAATCTTCACAACAGTAACCTCCATCATTATAGACAGGATTTCATATAGGCCTGAATGATTTTGGCTTTTTTATGATAAACTGATAAAGCTATTTTTCTAAATTGCAGTGGAGAACATCCCTCATGAGAGTCAAGTCCTAATCCATTTTATATCATTCTACAAGTCAACGGCTTTGTAGCACCGATTATGTTAAATAATATAAAGTGAGGAGACTTACTGTAAATCCAAGAAGACTGAAATACTGAAATGTAATGTCCTTGTTTAAATGTGTAAAAAAGGCAAACAAATTATTTTCCTTCCACCTCTATTGGAAATCAATCATAAGAAAAATTATCCAACATCTGCTACATATTGCTACATGCATTAAAACAAGATACTGACTGAGCATATACAACAATAAATGCACAACATTAAATTGTTTCCAAGATTTTTCACTGTGTATATTTTTGTCCCTTTATTGTACTATAGGTTTATAAAATCAGCAAAAGATTATTGAATATTTTAAAAGTAAAGCTAAAGAAGCATGTACCGGTATAGCCATTAACCAGTATGTGGTTTTGTATGCTCCATATTCCCATTGTCAAAATGGCAACAAATGACCTGTGGGGAGGAACTGTGAAACAAAAAAGGTTCTCTTAGTGTATCTTTTAATTTTGTACTGTTTGAAGTGTAGATTGATTGAATCCAAAGCTCTAATAATTCAGCTCATAAAATAATCCACATCGTAAATGACACCTGTCTCTGAACGTATACCAGAATCAGTCAGTGTCTCAAAGTGAGAAATCCTTTTACTGTTGACGAAGCATCCTGCTCTTTCTCTGAGGGAGAAACATCTGTCTTCCCTTTGCTTATTATTAACAAGATGATCTAATGGTTGCTGGAAATTGCTATGAGCACCACCACAGATTGTTTGCCTGTGTGTGTGTTCAATGGGAAACAGGTAGGAACAGCAACCACATTCATAACTGCATTGGTTTGTATACAGGGGAATGCCTCTGTATGTTGATGCTCCGTCAGCTATCATTAACCAAAACATTGGATTTTGCTTGCATTAGTTGGCTGTTTGTTGGATCCAATACATTGAAAACATAAATATGACGTTAGAGAACAAAATTACAAAAGAATATTTAAAAGGTCCTTAGCAAGAGGAAAATGTATAAATCCATGTTAATAGAAGTTTCCATTCTCCTTGTTACCAAGCGGGTGTGGTTCTCTTCAAAGTGGTATCAGCGTTTAACGTCAGAGGTATGTAGAGCAAACTGACTTAATAGCGGCTCTCCTTCAAACATTGCCAGACTCAGCAATCACTTTCAGTTATATTAGGTTCGGAAGCCATATTAATAATGTTATATTTTGACTGAAAATAAGGTGTCACACTGCAATTTCAAACCCCGACCAGGACGAATCCAAGAGTCCAGTTGTAGTAAAGTGGGAGATAGTATCCTGAACTAAACAAATACAAGATGCAACTTGGAACAAATTAGTATAAAACCACACCAATGTCTAAACCAGGTCATGTCTCAAACTGTGCAAGATACTTGAGAGTCTTTGTATTTTGAATTTGCAACATGCTTTAGTGAATTGATATTTTGAGATTCCTATATACACTGCATTTAGTCTGGATTAGGGAGTGTGGATTAGGCCTTGTGTTAGTCCTGTTATAAATTTAGCCTTGGTCACTCTGGTCCTGCTTAATAAATAATTTATGAGATAGTAAAAACATTGTGTGAAAATCTGACTTGATTTAAGACAACAGGGAACAAAAAGGCCTTCATACCAAGCAAACATGTCCCAGCTTCTATAAAGATCACTTTACACGTAACTGTAGAGAATAAGAAGCAGTTCTTTGTTCAAACAATTGCTTTCATTTGGATTTGGAGTATTGAAAAAGGTTTCCATTGCATCACAGTTGCTGCTACATCTGTTTTGTCGACAATGATGGTTGCTCATGCGAAAAAATGCTTATCTGGTTCCACACCTGTGAAACCAAGCCAGTAAAGTGTAATTTTCCATTGTTAACTCCACAGTGACTACTGTTTTGCCCAAATTACCAACAGCAAAAACTCATAATGCAGAATATAGAGCTTGAGGGCTTGAATAAAATGTTTATGCAACACATTAAGAAAACAATGGTCTGAAAGCACTGAAGCATTTTGACTTTGCAATATGAGACAAAAGGCCATAATGGAAGTTAAACATACCAGTGTACCAATATGTGCTGTACTTCAAGTGGATGAGTTCAAGTATCTCAGGGAAGGATGGAGCGAGAGATTGACAGAGAGATTGGTGCAGCTTTTGTCAATCTACATTCGCATTCCCACCTATGGTCCTGAGCTTTGGGTAATGCGAAAAGACAAGTTCGCAGATGTAAGCAGTAGCATTGAATTGCCTCCGCTGAGTCTCATCTGGCCTGGGAACACCTTGGAATTCCCTTGGATGAGTGGGCGTGTGGATAGGGGATTCTGGGTCTCTCTGCTCAGTCTACTGCCTCTGTGACACGGCAACGGGTAAGGTGGAATTACATATTAAAATTTAGGTACAGATAAAATTTAAGGCTAATAAACCAAACAGATTGTTGCTATCCGCATAGAACAATGGGAAACATAATCTCATTAGATAGTATATTACAGCCTAGAGAGTAATTTATGGGGGCAAAAGCAGCGCAGTTGGTAGAGCATTGACGGTCGTGTGGACTCACAACCTGCAGGAGGATCAGTGAGGTGCTGGTACCATGATAACTGGGTGGCAGCTCTGGTTGCCATCCCAGAAATGGATTAAGGGGATGAAAATGGACGGACGGATAGACTGAGAAATTGACCAATCTGATCCTTAAAACTTGAATAAATTCACCAAAAAGAAAAGAAAGGTTAAATCTCAAAATATACAACATATTTGGAAACCTTTTGATCTGTTTGGCAAAATTAAATATAACTATTATGTTTCATTATTTATGTTTAGATCAGCAAGACAATAAATAGGACCATGTCAAAGCTGTGAAACCTACATAACTTGCTTTATATAAAACGTTTCTTATCTTCCATTACAGACCCTTGAGAAATGCAGAGTGTAAAACTGCTCTCAAAAGCTTTGTGTCAAGTTTGCTCAACCATTAGCGGTATTTCTCCTGGAGTCTGGCAGCGGTGTCCCATCTCCACACACTGACAAACAACAGCCCCGGTCGAGCTGACACATGCAGAAACTATACAATCACTCAAAGACGCAGAGAGAGATAGAGGACGCTAATGTAAAATACACTCTTCAGGAACAGGAAGCCAATGCATCAAACCCTTGAGCGACCCAAGCACCAACTCCTTACACATGGAGTCCATCTCAGTAACTCTCTCTTTCTTTGGTAAACACTCATCTGTGTACAATTAGGAGCAGTCTCACACACAAAACACTTACGCACATCTGCCTAATTGCTACTTAGACCTTTAGCTATTGACTTTTTACTAGCAGAATTGTGATATTTATTTGAGGGACGACTTATCTATTCAGTCCCCTAAATTAAATAGCAATAAAAATCAGTCAGGCATTTTTTCCAGACCCCACAATGGGCTCGCCGTCACTATAAGTAGGTAGGTATGTTTATACTTCTTCAAATATATAATTTCAAAAATATATGTTTCCAAGACAATAGCTACATCACTCAATATATGCATCGCAGAATCTCATGATATTATTCTGTCCACTACATATTATTGGCCTGAAATATTTAGCCTTCAAAGAAAATGCAGTTTTGTCAATTTGCACTACAAATCTAAAAATAGCTTATTATTTATGTCATACCAACATGATGCCTTGAGGACTATATAAAGTCGAGCCATCTTACAATGATCAATATATATTTGTAAAGCGCATTTAGAAAACAGCCTATAGGCTTACCAAAGTGAAAAACAAAAAACCAACAGAAAAATAGAAATAATAAGCAATGATATTTAGGACGCCATGGTGGCAGAAAGGGTAACATTTCAAATCCTGATCAGTATAGGGCCATTTGGAGTGTGCATAAATTTCCTCGATTATATATATTTTTTACAATAGGTCAAATTCCTCCAGCTCCAGCCGTCCTGACCAATCTGCCCATCCACAGCTAGAGATGGGTCCCCGTAGCTGCACTGTGGTGACTACTGCAAGTTGTCTTAGTGGCAGAGGACACATTTCTGTATACAGGAACAATAAAGCATTCCCTTATCTTAAGGAATCACTTGGTTCACGATAGCAACATTAATCAAGAATACCAGAACATATCAAACACATGAAACCAATCATGTTAGCAATGTTCTTTTCTAACTCATGATTGCCTTAACCTTGACCTGTGATATCTCTTCTATCATTCCCCCTTCGCTCCATATGTCTTTGTTAAGATTGCGACCATCGGGAAGAGTAAATAACAATTGAGTAGAATTTGTTTTCCCCTAAATGAATGCCACATGTGCAGGAACTCGGCGTCATGGCTCGGCACAACAGTTAAGTTTGCTTGGTGTGAGTGAATGCATGTGTGTACGTCTAAATAACGGCATGTATCTTGTATACAGGCCGCCTCAATGCAAACCCGAGTGGAAATGAAGGCAATAATGGTTGACAGAGGTCCAGTAATCGTCTGAATAGGAAATGCATATATCCTTAGACAAACAAAGCCTTTTCTCTGGGGACAGCATATAGTCTGGCGATAGAGTAGTTTAAGCAAGTATCTTATTGTAGTATTGGTGGTTGACTGGGAGCAAGGTAGATTGAATCCACATGTAAAATATTAAAAAAGTGGTTGAACGTGAGACTTCAGCTTGTCATTGTTGCTATTGTTCTTTGATTGTGTTTGTACAAAGAGAAATCTAAACTCCAGGGGAAACCACAAGGAGTTTGACGCCAGAGGTTTAGTGGCCAAACTATTTTCCATATTAAAAATAATGATGATGGCTTGAAGTTGAAAAAACGAACAACACTAGAAAATGTGGTACAAAATAACACAATTTAATCCTTAGCTTTAAGTACGATATCTGCTTATTTGCATTCTTCCACAAACTAAATTACACCTAAACACCCGAACGGTAGTAAATAATGCTGATGCCAAACAGTGGGGGCATATTTCTGGGAACACTTAAAATAAATTGTGTTTCATTGCCTCATGAATTGTCAAAATGGGTCAAGGTAAAAAATAAAATAAAGTATCATTAAGCTATCATAAAGTCTTTTCATATGCCAACTCGTTATATAAATGCATATGAGGCGTAAATCACAGCTGAGCTCTGTTGTAATCTTTTTATAACGCAATTGTGCTTTCTCCAGCCAAATCTATATACAACGTTGCACTTTGGTGAACATCAAATGAGTGAACGTTCTCGGCTATTAACAAGACTGTAAATCAGCACATGCCAATCAAAAATCTGGAAACACCCATATGAATCTGGCAACCCAACAGAGGCTTTACTGTATATATAAATTATTTGGATGTTATTTTTCTTGCCCGTGAACCTGTTCGATCTTCGAGCAGTATAAAGCTGTAAGCCCAAACACCCCCTGCCCATTAACAGGGGGTGTGCTATGCCAGTAGGAAAGAATCTGCCCCAGTCTGCCCAATCTGACAGTTTTTTATTATTTATTAATTACCTTTACTTTTTACAAGCTGGAGAATTGAGTAATTTAGCGAGGCTAGCTTGGCAGGAGGAGGGTGGCGGAGGAGGTTTTTCCAGCCCTGAGGGACAAAAGGCTCTCTCAGGTTAGTGGGAACTGTGCAACTCTGTATCCTTCCTGACTAGACTCTGTCCACATGTATTTATTTTTAGGTAAATCAGAAGTGTACGTGGATTTTTCAAATGTTTATAGGCTACATTGGTCCTTCGTCCCCCACAAAGTGAAACAGTCTAAATCACTTGCCAGGATTTTCCTGAACTGCACTATATCTTGACTAGTCACTTTGCCATGGGCATAATTCTCCAGGATCTATAGTATCACTGGAACAGTTCAAGGGGGACATATGATATTTTTTGAATGATTTAATTGACTTTCTTTCAGTGTTTGTCTATGGTTAAGGGTCAAGAATTATTATAGTAGACCCGACCATAGACTGTATATAGATGGGACATGCTAACCCACTAGGTCAATGAAGTCTAATAGGGAAATGCCCTTGGGTGAAGTTTTTCTGCAACTCTGTTCCTCCTATTGACTTACATTGACAAACTCCTCTAACCGTTTGCGTCACACTCGCCATATTGGGATCTCAAAATCTGTGGTTTAGAGATCTCTATGATAGTGGGGTTTATATTTTGATATGGTCTTTGTAAATCCAGTCTTTCAGGGTCTGTTAAGTTCAGTTTACAATTAACAACATTAAATTAAATTATGGATGTCGTAAAACAATAAAACACCATTTACCATAATGTGGTTAAGTATTGAAAACATATTTTCTCATTACTGGCTCTTTTGTGTGAAGTCTTCTGGGTTACTGCTATAACCTGACCATGATTCCATTTACGGTCCTTCCCGAATACATGCCAAATTAATTGGAAACTTACTGCATGTTGGGGAGTGCAACCATACCGTAGAGATGTTTGGTTGTTTGCCTGAATTGTTCCACTGATTTACAATGGACTGGGAACAACCATAAATTACACACACCTGGAATAGAATATGCAGCATAAGACAGACAGATTTACCTTTCTTTAAAACACTATCAAACAAAAGCTATTCCTGAAGTTATAGTCAAATCACCAAATCAGATGTTTTACAAGAACCATTTAGGATAATATTAAAAGTTGAACATGCATGATTAAAAGAGATACATTACATTGGACAAAAGCAGATTACGGTAACGCTTTTTTGCATTCCTGCCACATCTGTTTATGATCAACACAGCCGCCAACAAACCGAGGTAAACATTGCTATTGGGGCCTAGCTAATTTAATGTTTTTAATTAGCTCTTTCAGAGAAATAAATGGAAAAGGTAAGCGTGTGTGATGTTGCTTGTGCAAATGCTAAATAATACAGAAACCCGTAGACCAGCTTGTTTTCCATCACCCATGCCGTGTTTCTGATTAGCATTAATAATTGCCCTACACTTGGCTTAGCATTTCTGACAAATGCATGTTATGTTTAAATGAGCTGAAAAGCTTTGAAGAGCCACATTTTCAATTAACTAAAAGGCCTAAATAAAAATATATGGACACGATAAAAGATTGAAAAGAGGCAATTTTTTTGAGTAATAAGCAGAATGAGACAACTGAAGTTTTGCTATGAAAGTTTACTGCTAGAATCAAGTTATTGTCAAGAAAGTGGTTTTCGATAGGATTATTAAAGAGGACATAAAAGGTACTTCTGCCTGTTATACAGTGAGAATCTATGAGACCTGTGGATCATCATAAATACAGTAAATTGATGAATCTCAATATTGATCAATAACAACATACAGTAAAGTCCATTCGCTTTCAACTACAGCCCTGTCGTATCGCATTCCCTGTCCCTTTACACGACATCTGTGAAAACAAGGTCATATCAGCGATGATAAGAGCAATAGATTTGTTTTCCTTTGAGAATGAAAATATACCATTATGTGCATTACAGATTCAGAAAAAAAAATTGTCGGACAAACTAAGGAATTTGGGGGAGAGCACTGCGTTTCGGGTTTAACGCATTAAAAATTATTAGTGAACATTGTCTCGCAAGATATCAGTAATCAGCAGAGATTTCACCAATTTTGGCTGATTTGATTCATTTTTGGCAGTTACTGCCCCCATCAGGGGGCGACAGTAGCTCAGTTGGTAGAGCATTGGCCTTCAGGCCTGAAGGTTGTGGGTTCAATTCCCACCTCTACACCATCTCCACCGACTCCCACTGATGACTGCTGTCGTAGTGTCCTTGGGCAAGACACTTAACCCCACTTTACCCAAAGCCCCCACTGAAAGATCAAGGCTATGCTCACACTCAGAGAGCAGCCGTTCTCCTGTGGACTCACCACCTGCAGAGGGTCAGTGAGGGGCTGGTGCTATGAGACTTGGGTGACATCTCTGATTGCCACCCCCCTGACCCAGAAATGGATTAAAGGGTAGAAAATGGATGGATGGATGCCCCCATCAATATACATTTGTGGTACCCCATTTTCAAGCACAGAATTCTACTGTTTTAAAACAATCCATGCATCTATTATTGAAAAAGTCTGCAAAAGATCATGTTACCACTACCCAAAAGCAAAGATAATAACTTCATGGGGTCATCCATCCAACATCAGCCATACATAATTTTAAAGCCTAAAACATCCAAACACTATATCAGTAATATACATATAAAAAAATATAGTATATATCAGAGTAGAATCAAAAAAAGATCTGTATCTATCAAACCAAATCAAAATGGGTCTTTCCCTATAGATGACATGCATGAATCACTCCACTTAAGAAAAAAACAGTGAACAACTTGGACATGGTCATAAGCTGTGAACAGTCGATTCTGCAGATACTAAGTGTTTTTGTGACAGGCTGATTAGGTGCAGAAAAAAACCATGCCGTACCTCGCTCTCATTACACTCATCATCGTTGTGAATGGTCGTCTGGTAGCGCGCGTACAGAGCCGTGGACTGCTCATACGACGCACTGAACTGGGGGTCGTCAAAGTTCACCGGCACTAGCCTCACCTTCAGCATGAGGGAGGGGGGTACAGAGGGGCAGGAGGCTTATCACAATCATTGAACAGATGAAAAGTACAAATGGTTGGAAGTTGGAACTAGGGCTGCACAATATTCTGTAGAATATAGAGCTTTTGTTGCAATATTTGGTCATAATTGAATGAAAATATGAAAGTTACATTCAAAAGAAGAGACTGGATCACTGTGGGAGGGCCTAAATGGCTTCAGATTCACATTAGGGAAGTCTGAATTGTAGTTTTGTTTAGAGTTTGTTTGCATTGCGTTTTCATTATGCAATTCTGCTATATAAGTAAAAATTGTCATGAAATATAGAAAAATAAATTGTGCAGCCCTTGTTTGACTCAAAGCTGGAGACAGATAGAATAAGAGAACACGGGGGACGTTAAATGCTGAGGGTAGAACAGTGTTAAAACAAGTGATTTTGGCTTCTCTGGGGTCACCTCAGTCTCCCTGTCCTCAAGGCGAGAGACCTGGTTTGCATTTGACACACCTGATCCTATAATTGTATCAGATTGTTGCTCAGAGAGGAAACATTGACTTAATCATTCCCAAAATATAAACATGCATGTGGTAAACTTTGAGGAAGTTCAAGGAGACTGAGGATATACACACACGATTATGAAGATGAGGCTAGTGCACCGTCCAAGATACCTGCTGAAGACCCCAGTGTGCAATAATAGGAATGAAAGTCATTTCTAATATGCAATAAAATAATTGTGGGTACTTTAGTGTAATTGTGTTATGGCTCCTACCATTATGTACAATAATGCCAACAATATACAATTGTTCTTGCTTCAATAATTTCTTTGGGTTAAGAACTATTCACATTTACATGTAATGAGCTTAGAAAGTAAACCATTACAACACCATTATAGATATTATATTATTATTATTATGGATGGATGGATGCATGTTGTGTATTATTAATGTCATTTTGACAGGATGATAATAAAAATAAAAAAAATTTATTGAAGTTTTTTTATTATATAGTTTTCATTGTGAGTTTATATCAGAATGGTATCAATGAGGTCGAATAAATTGTGCTTTATGAAAAAAGCACCTTAAAGTGAAGGTTAGTCACATTTAGTTTGACTTTGACCCATCCCCCTCACAGGTTCCTGATTGGATGCAATGAATTAAAATCCTAGACAGACAGCTGAGGTCCCTCCCCATTGGTCAAACTATTCTCTACTAGCAAATTTGATCCTTATTCCAAGGGGAGTGACCATTTATATATTAAGTATTTTTCATAATTGATATTTTTTATTATTGTACTACAGGGTCATATTATCAAATATTCATATTATTTTCAAAATTCAATATCAATATCAATTAAAGTAGCTGACATCACCTTTAATGCTCTCAAATATGATAAATGTATCAAATCAGAATGAATTTGGTTGCAAGAAGTAAATGTCATAGACTGCACTGTACATTTCTCAGCAAATGATCATTATTATCATTATTATTATGCACAGAACTTTCTAACCGCACAGTTTAGTCACATGTTTTCATTTCTCAAATGTTGTGGCTACAAAATGCAACTCATTCCAATAAAAACGTCAATCCAATCTATATCTAGTTGCTGAAGCTAATCATATAAAAACAAATAAACAACAATTTATCACATGATACAGCAACTCAAGACACCAACAAGAAAGACCGAATGAGCACCACCAAACAGAATGACACAATGGCATCCAAATCTTCAAAGTCGCTGCAGCCTTTGACACTATTCCTCTCAGACAGTACAGTGAAGTGAGGGGGGCGCAGACGGGGGATTGAAGAGAAGCCGTAAAGGTCAAGGTTGTGCAGCTGACAAAGTGCCCTCCACAAAAGTGTAAAAAACCCTCCTCATCATGAGCGTCGCCTCTGGCCAACTCACACACCTGGAGAAACACTGGCGTATGGAAACATTTTCGCTTCGTTTCCGCAGCCTTTGAGCCCGGCTCTTTTACATGTGCGGCCCCCGTGATGTGACACCCCATTCACAAGTTTTAATTCAGACAGACATTGTGGCCCCTTCCCCCCCATAACTTCACAAAATGTCTACTGTAGATTTCAAAATGGAGCAGAGAGGCATCAAGTTTCTTCAACGTGTTGCAGTTCAAATCAAGGCTTCAGTTTAGCTGTGCATGAACCCTTTTTTCCGCCAAAAAGGGACAACATTGTTGGGCGGCACGGTGGCTGAGTGGATAGCACTCTCGCCTCTCAGCAAGAAGGTCCTGGGTTCGAATCCCGGTCGGACCAGGGCCTTTCTGAGTGGAGTTTGCATGTTCTCCCCGTGTCTGCGTAGGTTTCCTCCGGGTACTCCGGTTTCCCCTACCACTAAAAAAAAATATGTACAATAGTTCTGGCATGCGCCTCCTGTACTGGCGACCCCGCTCCCATCTCTGTGTGGAGTGAGAGACAAATGCCCATAATTAACAATTGTAAACCGCTTTGAGACTCAGATCTGCAGTGAAAAGGCGGTATATAAATAAAAACTTACTTACTTACTTACATTTAGCATATTTTGTTTGTACGTTTTTTCAAGGTGACTTTGAATTCTTGAACTCCCCGTGGTTCAACTATAAAATACAAAGTTTGACCAAATTTGATAGCTCGGCATTGAAGAACATATATTATGGATTATTCATGTATTTATTTTGAATGTGTTTATTTGGATGGGACAGTTTCTATTAATGAACATCAGAAGTAAATACACCAGATTGTAGCTTCGGAGCCAATTACCATTATTTGAAAATGCATCTTTTAAACAGTTCCTGATATTAGCATGGATTTTTTTACATGAAATTCACGTATATATTGAAAAACATGTCTCTTTTAAATATCTTTTCCAATAACACAATTCTCATTACTCCGCTGAGCTCACTAATCTTCATTAAGCTGAAAGTCTTTCAACATTACTTCAGGTGTCTGTGTCTAAACCTCCCTCCCTGCAGCTATGGCTGGAGCAGGTTGACCTCAGCCCCTTGATCTGACCTGGCTCTCGGAGGGTTTTTCAGGAGGGTCCTTGTGAATGGCCATCTGGTAGAGTTTGTACACCTGGTAGGAGGCGTCGAAAGAGCCTTTGAACTGCGGGCAGGGGGGATTGGAGCGCACTAGCCTCACCTTCGAACAGAACATGGTCACAATAGGGTTAAAAGAAACACAAGTGCAAACAGAGAGATAAGGAAAGCGGTGCAAGGCTGGAAGAAGGATACAACACACTTGACAAAGAAAGATAGTGATTAACTTATTTTGAGCTAATTCAATCTGTAAAGATGATCTGAAATGGATTGTGATAATATAAGATACAAGTCATATACAAAAAAATTGGTTACGGATGAGGATTCATTTTGGCCTGAAGTCCAGACTATTGTAATAGTAATATATTTCAGAAAGACTTGAATCTGTACACTTTGAAAAGTGAGTTTTATCCCTCTCCATAGATTGGATCTTTGTTTTGTAGCAGTCTTTGTAAGAAATAACCATTAGCCTATTTTGCCTTTTAATGCATAAGCTTATAACGGCTAGTAACTTCACCATGTTCTAGAAATAAAGTAATAGTTTCATTGAGGCATTTACTTTTTAATGCCAATTTTTAGTGAATCAGCATGCAAACTTATGACAGTGTTCTCTTCCTATGCATGAAAAAGCTACAACGATAGCTTTGAATTGATCCCTAAATAATGAAATTGGAATCTTTTTTTCTAGATATTATAATGTAACAAAATGCTTTTCATTTAATTTGGAAATTCTAATGACCCGTTTCCACTGAGGCGTCAAAGGAGGTGAACAGAAGTCTACGTTCAGCCAAGGGGCCCACACACTTTCATTTCAATAACGAACAAAACCAAGTCCATGACGGACACACTACGGAACAAGAAAGTAGCAGTACTGTTATTGCCACAGAAATGTAACTCACTTTCATACTTCCTAGGGCCCAAATTTAATTACCCATCTCAATGCTTGGGAGATTTTGTTGGCTGTGAGTGTGTGCTATAAAATTGCCCTGAACTTTGAGATATGGACTCAGCTCTAAGTTTATTTGAGTTGAACAAGTACAAGTCCCTCTCGCAATTTGAATAGAGCGCCCTCAGAATGCCAAAAATATGATATAATAATAATGATTGAATAAAACTTAATTTAACCCACTGTTGAAATATAATTTGAAAGGCTACACATTTATCAATCATAGAGGGAGCAGAAGAATGTTCTGACATGTCAGAACAATTTCATGAAAAATGGGATAATAAGTTAAAATATTTCCAACCAAAGAATGTTCTTTGAAAGACATACAACAGACGTACTGAAGGAATTTATTTTTAAGTTTGAATCAAGCCATACATATAGGCTGATACTTGTTGAAGTGAAATGTTCTACAATAATGATTTAATACATCTTAAAACATCATGAGAAAGTTTTGCAACGTGCCACTGGTCCCTGAGGCGCCTAATAGCTATATTTCACGTTCCTACACTGACCTCTGGTGGTGACTTCGTGAACTGTATCTTCCCAAATTGTTTCTTGCCAATTCTACTTTTACAACATTTTTTGTTTTTGGCTACAACTACTACTTCATTTTTGCACAGTTTATTAATTATTGGAAATGATTAAACTCCCTCTACTCAACAGTAAAATATTCTAACAGACACCCTAACAGGGCACTTTTTTTGTTTTGTCAGTGAAACTTTTAATAGAGCCAAAATTGCAATGCGGTCTGGTAAGTTGTCGTTTCGGAACCACTAAATAATAACTGAAATTGTAAAGCATATCATTACACTTCAAGTGAAAAGTAATAAAGTACCTAACATGTATTATTCCCACTTAATTAAAGAGGTATAATCCATCGCTATTTCTAATAAAATTAAAAGGCTAAGGATCTGGGCTGCTTGTTTGACTGGGTACACCAATTAGATTATTTTTGTAACCATAGCTTATAGTTCAGACCAACATTGACGTTACTTCACAGACCTCAGAGCAGTTGTTTTCCTCACGTAGATCTTTTGACTTTGCCATAGATTTAGCCAAAAACCCTCATGACTCCGGCTGGGTGGTTAGCTGTGGTTTGAATGCCATCATTGAGGAAACTCAAGTCGATTTGTGTGGTGCGCGTGTCATTTGGTAGAATTGAAAATGGGATGTAGTGGTTTTTCCATTGGGTTTTGGACGGATCTTCTCTCTCCACTTCTATAAACACATGGTGAAGTCACTAGGGCAAACTACTAAAAACTGCACAGCTTTTTCAGCCTTGCAAGCACCAACTCAGCAAACATACAAGTGCCTGATCAGAACCTGGAAACATACTTTTGATTATCATAACAGACACTCTGTTACCTTTTTAAATACTGTATGTAGATTATTGGAAATGTGTTGTGTGGTGCAATCCAGGAAGTTAATGCTGGGGAACCCAATACCCCACAACATGCTGTCTTCAGCTTAATGGAAAACATGTTATCTTTTGCATACTTCTAAGAAAGAGCCTTGTAAGTCATAATTTGACACTTCGAGTAGACCTCTCTTATTCACTTTTCTGTATGAAAAAAGCAAACTGTTTTGAGAGCCAAAAGCTAGTTGGATGGATTTTATAAAAACGTTTGTCGGGGTTTGAAATTTAGGTTTCTCATCTTTGTCTTCAAGGTTTGCAACTAATGGGTATCTATACACTTTGACTGCTGAACAGGCAAACAAAAACTAAACTTGCGAATATATTCTTTGTAATAGGCTAATGTTTATCCACTTACAGACGGAAGAGTGTAGTGACTGTGTTGTACTGTATTGCTTCACCTCGAGGCCATGAGCGGTGCAATCCAACAGGGACTCGGCCACCAAGTCCTCAAGGCTTTTAGGCTGGTTGCTTTGGTTGGAGGCTGAAGGGGGAGGCTTGGTTGTGGGTGCAATTCCGTCTGCACTCTGCCTTTTCTGCTCCTTTTGAAGTCTGCGCTCATTCCGGATGTTTTTGGCCTTACGACATTGCGGCCTGTTCGGATCCGCTCCCGTTCCTGCGCGCACACACACATATTTGCAATAATAAAGCGTCTTTTCAAAGGATTCTGAGCTTGAGATTTCACAAAAAAGGCAAGTGTTTAGTCTAAAGCTGCGAAGGACAGAGTAAAGCATTTCCAGATGAGAAAACACAAGTAAGAGACGCAGTAATAACTCAATTATGGTCTTTTGGAAATGCAGAATAACGTCACCTTCATGTGGCTTAGCACAGAAGCAATTAAAGTCTGCCAAAGCTAAAGCATTGAAACTGGAAGTCATGGTTCAAAGGAAAGATGCTGTTACAATTGTAAAGTAATCAGTAATAATGCAATGTTTTTTTTTTAAGAAAGTGAAAATAAAACAAGAAACAACCAAAAAGGGCAATCTAAAGGCTATAACTACTGAGTTTTTGAGTTGTTCCTCGCCGATCCAGGAGGGTTTAAGGACAGTGATGTTCGAGGACATTTATAAACTTTTACAAATATTGGTCATTCCACTATCCTGTGGCTCAATGACCAACATCCTTTATTGACAATTTTGTAAAGTCCTCCGAGACGACTACTGTTGTGAATTAGGGCTATACAAAATACATTGAATCTATTGAGTCCATTCTATTCTATTCTCACTTTATTTAATTTTTTATTTTTTTTTATTTTTAAAGTAAAGAATCTTCAAGTAAGAATCAAATAAACTTAGCAAGATGCATCTTACAGTCTCTAGTGTAAGGTGCATCTTGGTAGGCACCTACTATATTACACTTTGTAATTATACAATACACTACTTTATCAAGTAGTGCTTATTTAGAAGTACCAAAGTTGGTCCCAAATCAAAGCAGATGGCGGGACATTGATGAAGATAATATGAGGCCTCTGTTGCTACCGAGAGAAAATACATGTTTATATTTGTCCCATACAAAAAGGCTTGAATTCCCTAAACATTTTTCTTTCTTCACCGTCCAGCTCCACATCCTCCGGTTTGGGACGGTGCCAGGCCCTTCTGGCTCTCGGGCATCTCGTATCAACATCCAACACGCCCACATCCTGTTTGCAGCAATAAGGAAACAAGAAGGATTTCCTGTCCAATTGAAAACCACCACCATTCACAACAAACTCGATCCTTTCATCCACGTTAGACGGAGGGATGCCCCGAGCCATTAATGAAGAGGACGAGCAATTACTACAAACGTCAATATAAGATTGGGAGATATGACAAAAGCAGTGATCGCTGCAACTATGTGCTATTGTCAAAATCTGATTCACAATTCTTTATGATAAATGCAGCGCTAAGCCTTAACACAAAAACGTCCCCACCCACTTTTCCTTGAGGAAACAGTCAATGAAGCGGTGGATTGATGTGGCAACTTTATGATTGTGAAAACATTTTATCCATCTTCATAATGTAATGATACAATAATTAGTTGAGTGATTAGTTGGCCAACTATTCTTTCAATTTGCTGTTTTATGGGTTTTTTTTAATTAATTGACTAAACAAAGCTCAAGAGATGCCCCTGGAGAAAATCTTTGTTAATTAGGTTGTTTTAGTAAAAATACTTTGTAAAACATTCTGCTGTAAAACCTCTTCTCAGTATGATTAAGTGTATGTAAGGTTGATTTATTCCTTAGTTGATAACTATTTCAATAACCAATTAGTTGTGATTAAATGTTTTTAAAGACTCTTCCTGGAATGGTCTATTAACATTGAGAATGTTGTATTGAGGAGTATTGGTAAAAAGATCATGGGGGCCTGGTAGTGACCAGTAGTAAGTATCCAGCCAAGCCGATCTAGAACATATTTTAGGCTTGGACAATGCCGTGAAGTTATCAGAAGCCCAGTACTATTGCAATGCCACAGTTGTAGTTTAAAATCATTCACTTTGGGGTTTGCATGTAATAGTTTTGGCATTTTATTAACTAAATGAAGCACTTGTGGTTTGCTGTGCTAATACAAACACATGTCACTAACAGCAACAGTGTGTTTGAATGGTTTTCATGAGTTTGAATAAACAGTACTGGGTCAAAGCTGAGCAGGAACCAGCATCTGGCCAGGGTCCTTATCCTCCATCGCCCACGCGCCTCTCTGCCTCAAATTACACTAGACTCCCTCTGCCCTCTGCATCCCTCTTACAGAAGTTATCTTAACATGTGTGTATTGCACATGTTGAAGCTGTTATTTTGTTTGTATGTTTTAAGAAAAATTATACTTAATGTCTAAGATTATTTTTACAATCTTACCGTTTTCCGTAGACTCGCTTTGGTTCCATTCACTTATATTAAATAGTAAACATATTTACTGATAACTGTCCGTGTCACACTCAACATGCAGGATTCAAAAATCTGTGGTTCAAGGCTGTGCATGATCCTGGTTTATGATTTGATATAGTCTATGTAAACCAGATATGTCAACTAACAACTGACCAATCAGGAGCCTTCTATTGCAGAATTATAAAAGCGCAAGCAGGAACAGACCAGCCCCACTCCTGATTGGCTCTTTAGTTGCTAGGTTGTTGCTACTCACTATTTTGACTCCAATTGTGGATTCAGTAAATGCTTATTATATCAATGACAATCTAGACAGTGGTGAATTCATGTTTTTAACCTCACTTGAATCGTTCATTCAGCTTTGGATCTTCTTCCCACCTTGGACACACATTAATAGACCCACAGACTGGAGGCCATTGGAGATAAAAACTTACGAGTAGTTCCTGTGCTCTCCTCTGCTGTCGTTAGCACTTCATAAAAGCATGACAACTTTCTCCTGCGTGCGTCCCCCGGCTCTCGCTCAAAGTGAGAGGTGTCCTGGGTGTAAACTGTCCAGGAGAGAGGCATTATGTCGGCCTGCTGCTGGAGGATGCACACGGGAACACACAAAACACTGGAGTCCTTGCTGCTCACGTTACTGCAATGAGGCTAAACGCAGGACTCTCCAGAGGATTACACACTACAGAATTTCAACAAGAAAAAGTGTTGAGCTGGACAAGGCTAAAGCAGCCGTCTCCTGTAGATGCTCTGTGTAATCAATATAAGTGGAACAAATACTGAGCAAAACATTACGGGAGCAACATTAGTACGGTGTAGTTATTTCCCTCCTCAGGGTTGCTTAGGGTAAATAACAATGTGCCCAAATGATAGCAACTACAATTGTTTTGTTGTCTTATTAGCGGTTTATGATTTAACATTTCAATTCTTGTTTTGAGAAGTACTTTGAATTGCCTGTGTATTAAAAGTGCAATACAAATGAACTTGCCTAAAACGTTTTACTAAATCAATGCTTTGATTACATAGATTGGCAAAATAAAACAGAATTTATTTGTAATGCTTTTAAAATTAGAATACAATTGCTTAATGAATAAGCAACATTTTGTAGGCGTCAGCAGGTCAAAAACAGTAGTATTATTATTTTAATTAATACAGTAGGCTTCTCTGTGTTAATAACAAGTATTGCCAAGAAGACAGTCACAACCTGCCAATTAATTTACACCGTCCGACAAAATATCACAAGTACCACACCTTCATGTACAGTATAGCCCCTGAGTTATAGCATATTTGATTAAGAGATGTACAAGGGGCAGCTACTGCAAATATATATAGCCATACAATGCAAAAACGTGATTTATAGAAAAGTGCATTATGCAGCAGTGATTTCACATTTGCTTACAGTCTGTTTTCAGACCTAAACAATGCATATTACATCTCCTCGAGAGTGTTTACATCTGGCACAGCATTATGTGGGATCAGCGGCAGATGGAGAGCAGTGTTTTCTCAAGCTACCTCTGGATCGTGCCCAAAGCCATAAAGCGCCGCAGTCATAAAGCCAGAGAAGATACGTCCAGGTGTTTTGTGTTGGACGCGAACGAGGGAGGAACGGATAACCAGCGGCTCAACACAGTAAATCCTGCTGCTTCCTCTTTCCAGCCTCCTGAAAAGGCCTCTTATTTCAGCACAGAAGGGGCTACGGCGCGGACACATGTGAGTGTGATACAGATCTACTGGCTCCACTCACATTTTCCACCTGATGTTTATGTCTGCAACTGGGAATGGTGTCCAACATCAGGTTTTAATGCGTTGGACACTCATTTGGATTGTTCACAACCCCCTGCCCCCATTAACTACATCCAAAAAGTGGTAAAGGGCAACCCATGCTGCAGGGGTGACTTATTATAGTCCATTAGCAGGAGCCAAATTAAGACAAAACAGAAAATGGGCTGGAGATGTTGTTATAATGAGATTAATGGGAACTAGGCAAGCCAACATTGGATGGTGCTGAAGGGAAAATACTGCAATGCAGACAATGATGAGGTGCAGAGCGGGTCCAGATATATCTAGAAAATATTAAACTCAATTAAGATTTTCCACATGTATGACAAAGTATCGCCTTTGCACCTCTGTAAAACTTGGATGCACCCTTGATTGATTAGTCTGGTGAATAGTGACACCTACTGGCTATTTCGTATAGCACCTGTAAGAAGAGCAGAATAAGATGTGATTTTGGAAGAAGGATATTCTATAGATACTCAGACACACATGAGTCCAATTATATTGGAGGAAGCTGATTGGTTGCATCCCTTCTACTAATTACTTGTATGTTCTGAAAATACTTCAATAAGAGTTCAAATCAATGGTGGATTACAAGCATTAGGTCCAGGGGGACATGGACTAGACTGCTAATTGCTAATCGTGCATTATAAACTTACATTTCCTCAAGTATTTCACACTAACAATTATCTGGGAACTAATGTAAAAATATAACTGTGCATGAAGCCTTGTACATGTGAAACAGCAGTGGCCGTACCTGGTTTGGGGCCAGAGGATGAAGGGGGCACAGACGTATCATTGGGAGAAGCTTCAGTGGGTGTGTTCTGCTGCTCTGGCTCTGGAGCGGTGTTGGGGCAGTCCTCTTGGTGGATCTGCGACACCGATGGGCACTTGGCTTCAGACGGACACGAGCTACTGGGCTCCCGTTGAGCGGCTGCATCGCACATCATTGACTCGCCTGAAAATTACAGACATGTTCCTACGTTAACAAATATTTTTAAAACATTAATTCGACTTTTGATTGACAAATCTATGAAAACATAAATATAAGTTTTAAAATCATTCTTCAGTTATTACACTTCCACAATAAAGCCTCCATTATTTTTTGTATTTAAAAAAAAAAGATTTTAATTATTAAGCTTGTTGACAATTCAATAACAACACATATTTTATTAGTAACTTGGCACACGTAGTTTAGTTACTTTACTGAAACTAAAAGACCTTTATAAACTATACCTCAATGCAAAACAATTGAAACATAAAAGCTTTTAAGTATTTAATAAAAAATAACAAAAGCAACGTTAGAGCCATTCCTTTAAAATATCCTGGATCCAGGCTGTGATCAAAATGTATCATTTTTGGAAATTGCTCCGTGACCAGAGTTACAGAACGTTTCGTCAAAATCTGCCCAAAAAACTAGTTGTGCAGCAATGGGCTAAACATAAACCAGTAAACATTGTATACAAATACAAATAATTCATCACACAACGGATGACCTTATTCTAGTAAGTAGTAAGTAAGTAAGTAAGCTTTATTTATATACCGCCTTTCACAGACCAGAGTCACAAAGCGGTTTACAATTGTTATTTTTTGGGCACTTGTCTCTCACTCCACACAGAGATGGGAGCGGGGTCGCCGAACAGGAGGCGCATGCCAGACCTATTGTACATATTTTTAGTGGTAGGGGAAACCGGAGTACCCGGAGGAAACCTACGCAGACACGGGGAGAACATGCAAACTCCACTCAGAAAGGCCCTGGTCCGGCCGGGATTCGAACCCAGGACCTTCTTGCTGAGAGGCGAGAGTGCTATCCACTCAGCCACCGTGCCGCTGATACACAATGCAATAATATGGTGCTATACTGTATTAAACAAAATGAACTAAACAGATTCTTACCCTCTTCACCTTCTCCTTTCGGCAAGTCTCCTTTTGAAAGAAACTTGTTCATCTTTTTAACGATTTTTTTATGGGATTTGGAAGGCTGAAACTTAAGTGTATGACATCTGGATAAAGAACAACATTATTAGGTGCATAAGGATCAACTTTGACAATATTCTATTTGTGTACTGTATATTGTTAGAAATGATACAGTATACCTAATAGTATATTGTGGACAACAAGTCTTGTTCAATATGGGCTTGTAGACATATTTTCCACTTCTGTAAAAGAAAAAACAAATGTGTGTCAATAGAAGAAGAAAAAAATGTGTTAGTAAGTAACAAAAGCTTTACCTTCTCCATCCTCTGTCTATAAGATCTTGATAATCCTGCACAGTCATTGTGTGTGACCACATCCCTGGAAAAAGAAAAGCAGAATTGAGTTGTAAAATTGGTTGGCTCCATGAACAGCCCCAGAACTGTAACCCTATGGATCAAGTTCCCATGGCCTTGTGAAAGCTATTCACTTTCATATTAACAATGACATTTCTGATATAACATTGCAACAATCACAGTCACAAACTATTGGGTTTTGACAGTTCAGTGCTGTATCTGATGAAGCAAAACATTGCTCTTCAAATCAATGGAACATTTCTGATGTCTAAAATATAAACAAAAAGGATTTTGGCAACAAACTACTTTCATTAGAGATGACATGTTCCTTTTTCTTTTAACAAATTCAGCTTTAAGTTTAGTGATAACGGTTCCATTACAATGAGCACTCTGCTGATGTCAGCTCCGCAGCAGCTGCAGTGATGAATGGCAGATCAGATGATAGGAAACCACAGAAAGAGGTGGACCCTCTCAAACACATCACCACAAAACACTGTTCTAACCCATTCAGGAACATGAGGGACTGAGGAGGCATTTCTTTTATACTTTATTTGAACACAGGTTGATTGCATATTTCCATATAGTTAAGATGTTGTTATCCAATCCCAAAAATACGTAGGCTTAAGTAAATGCTTCTTTTTTTTTACTTTCAGTGTCTGAATAGGTTAAGCTCCCCTCTCTTTGGGGCCAGCCTTCCCTTGAAAAGTAATTCTGAAATTTCAAATCTATAATGACAATAATAATAACAACAACTTGAAAGTTTAAAATAAAGTCTGTAAATAAAAGAAACTTGGGAGCGACTTAGCTGTGTATCTTTCGCTTTTTTCAATAATAATAATGGGAAACTACTTGTATAACGACCACTGAGCTGTACAAGCACTACAGGCCTGTAGCAATGAGAGAGTGCCAACATTCAAAAAGGTAACCTCACGAGTCACAACAGACTCTAATCAGAGTTACCCAGCTGGTGAGCAGGTTCAGACTTCCTCTGGGTGATGTAACATATGCAGCTTACGTTAGATTAGACAACTGCTCTAGTCTTCTCCACCCCACTGCCTCAATAGGAAATGCCAAACAACTGATCTTAAGACTATGTGGTATCCAAGATTTCCTGCAGTCATTTGGGGACCTAAAAATAGATTAAGTTGGCATTGATCCATTTTGTTCACTCAAAAAAAAAAAATATAAAATATATATAAAAATTAATTACCCATCTAATGCATTCAAAGAATCTACTGAGACTTACCTCATCGAATTCCCAAAGAAGCCAAAATCTAAACATCCTGTTTTATTAGGCCCGAGCCCCTAACGGGGAAAGGGCCTATTGTTTTTGCTCGAGAGATGTCAAATTCTGCACTTTGAGCCTTAATTTCACCCCCTGAACATGCATGAAAAGTTGTAAAATTTTGCCCAAACATCAGACCTGGTGAAAGATTTGATATTTTGGTGTTTATTTTTATGGGACTCAAAAAATGCCACAAGAGGGCCACCTACAACAGCCAATGGAAGTTTCAGAGGTCAAGTTTGTCATAGAGCCATGAAATTCGGTACACATGTTCCTCAAGTCAAGATACGACCAAAATGTTATCATGGCTCCACCCTCTGACAAACAGGAGGCCCATAAATTTCACTGAAAAATGGAAAAATGATCCGCAATCATTTTCATACATGTCGGTTGGAAAGCGACTCCTCCTTGGCCGTTTCACCGATTTGCCTCAAAATTGCTCCATATTATCTCCATATCATCTTAACACACGTACCTTCAAAATGACTAAAGGGATTTTCGATCAGTGAAAAGTTGTTTGAGCAGCGGAGCGGGAAAATGTGAGTGTTTTTTGGCCGTTTTTGACAACATTAATTTTGCTCCCGTTTGCACAAACAAAGTCTGATTTGCACAAAACTTGAATCCAATGTTCAACTCCAGGGTTTAGGTCACCACCACTGCCTTGGTGCGGAGTGGTGCTCGAGGTGCGGGGTGGTGCGCGCGGTGCGGCGAGGGCCGGTCGACGCCGCTTGCGGCTTTAATTGTTACTTCCTTTCAGACTGTAGTGGGCTTTGAATACGCGAATGTCACTGTTCATTTCTAAAATACATCTGATTACAACTAAAGACCCAAAGTGCTTACACACAAGTGCAATAAAATACAGACACACGCAAAGACAATTCATTACAATATGAAATGTTAGAAAAATACCCATCGAAATAGTTCACATCGCAAGATAGACTCTTGCAAGTGGTGGTACTGACCTACAGTAAACAAATGTAGAAACTTCTCATATTGATGCTGTCCAATCTACGGCCCACGGTCTACGGCCCACGGTCTACGGCCCACGGTCTACGGCCCACGGTCTACAGCCCACGGTCTACAGCCCACGGTCTACAGCCCACGGTCTACAGCCCACGGTCTACAGCCCACGGTCTACAGCCCACGGTCTACAGCCCACGGTCTACAGCCCACGGTCTACAGCCCACGGTCTACAGCCCACGGTCTACAGCCCACGGTCTACAGCCCACGGTCTACAGCCCACGGTCTACATACTACGGTCTACATACTACGGTCTACATACTACGGTCTAGGGCCTACGGTCTACAGCCTACGGTCTACATACTACGGTCTACATACTACGGCCTACGGTCTACATACTACATACTACGGTCTACATACTACATACTACGGTCTACATACTACGGTCTACATACTACGGTCTACATACTACGGTCTACATACTACGGTCTACAGTCTACGGTCTACATACTACGGTCTACATACTACGGTCTACATACTACGGTCTACATACTACGGTCTACATACTACGGTCTACATACTACGGTCTACATACTACGGTCTACATACTACGGTCTACATACTACGGTCTACATACTACGGTCTACATACTACGGTCTACATACTACGGTCTACATACTACGGTCTACATACTACGGTCTACATACTACGGTCTACATACTACGGTCTACATACTACAGTCTACATACTACGGTCTACATACTACGGTCTACATACTACGGTCTACATACTACGGTCTACATACTACGGTCTACAGTCTACAGCCTACAGCTTGCGGTCTACGGTCTACAGCCTACGGTCTACAGCCTACGGTCTACGGTCCACAGCCTATGGTCTACAGTCTACGGTCCACAGCCTACGCTCCACAGCCTACGCTCCACAGCCTACGCTCCACAGCCTACGCTCCACAGCCTACGCTCCACAGCCTACGCTCCACAGCCTACGCTCCACAGCCTACGCTCCACAGCCTACGCTCCACAGCCTACGCTCCACAGCCTACGCTCCACAGCCTATGGTCTACGGTCTACAGCCTATGGTCTACAGCCTATGGTCTACACCCTATGGTCTACACCCTATGGTCTACACCCTATGGTCTACACCCTATGGTCTACACCCTATGGTCTACAGCCTATGGTCTACGGTCCACAGCCTACGCTCCACAGCCTACGCTCCACAGCCTACGCTCCACAGCCTACGCTCCACAGCCTACGCTCCACAGCCTACGGTCTACAGCCTACGGTCTACAGCCTACGGTCTACAGCCTACGGTCTACAGCCTACGGTCTACGGTCCACGGCCTACGCTCCACAGCCTACGCTCCACAGCCTACGGTCCACAGCCTACGGTCCACAGCCTACGGTCCACAGCCTACGGTCCACAGCCTACGGTCCACAGCCTACGGTCCACAGCCTACGGTCCACAGCCTACGGTCCACAGCCTACGGTCCACAGCCTACGGTCTACAGCCTACGGTCTACAGCCTACGGTCTACAGCCTACGGTCCACAGCCTACGGTCCACAGCCTATATGGTCTACAGCCTATATGGTCTACAGCCTATATGGTCTACAGCCTATATGGTCTACACTCTATGGTCTACACTCTATGGTCTACACTCTATGGTCTACACTCTATGGTCTACACTCTATGGTCTACACTCTATGGTCTACACTCTATGGTCTACACTCTATGGTCTACACTCTATGGTCTACACTCTATGGTCTACACTCTATGGTCTACACTCTATGGTCTACACTCTATGGTCTACACTCTATGGTCTACACTCTATGGTCTACACTCTATGGTCTACACTCTATGGTCTACACTCTATGGTCTACACTCTATGGTCTACACTCTATGGTCTACACTCTATGGTCTACACTCTATGGTCTACACTCTATGGTCTACACTCTATGGTCTACAGCCACCCCACACAGACCGGTCCGACCAGCACTTTCTCTGAAATTACAACGTCAGGAAGGAAACTACCACAATATATCAAACTTCGAATCACGCACAAACTTCACATCAGTCCAAACAATGTCTTATAATCACCAATTCTGTACAATAGCTTTGAAAATAAGGCATTTTAGAAAAGCCATCCCTACTACAGTGAGTAAAGTGCATTCGAAATGGGAAGCAGTTCGATACTGGTCCATCTCCTGCCTTTTTGGTGACTAATGTCTTACAGAAAATTACAGAAATCTAGTGCACACAAGTTAAAATAGACACATTAAAGTATGTATTGATCCAAATAATCAAGCAAACACTTCAGAACTGGTACTTTTCCAAAACATGAGCTAGCTGTTGCGTTAGCAATGTGTCGCTAGCTAGCAGCAAGCTATGTTTATTATCTTTGATTGAACACTTACCATAAGAAAAGTTCCCGACTGAATTTTTGCAGTAGCCACATTGGTAGCCGCTATCACCTCCGAAATACTCTACGATGGTATAAGACTTGTTTTCAGCCATGATTTAGTGACTTGACAGCTGAGAGATTCCCCTGAGCGAGAGCAGCTCTGCACATAAGGCACCGCCCACACTGTGCGTCACGAGCCACGTAGCCAATCACAATATTGAATAAAAAATATCACGAATACAAAAATACACATTTCATTGTTAATGTTATCTATAATATAAACTACTCAATTCATGTCATTATTAGTACACTAAAAGTATAATGTAATAATAGTATAATCTAAATATATACATGCAGGTGTGATTGATTTTATGTTTATATTGTGCTTCCAAGTACTCAAAACACAATGAATACATCTATAACCACATTTTTTTAAAAATATGATACCAGAATTTTTATTATTTCTCAAATGAACTGAACTAAATAAGGAAAAAGACAAATTGAAACTGTACATGATATTTATTCAAACCATTTGAGCAAAGTAGAATGAACTGAAAAAACTACACTTGAGAACTGTAAATATAGAAAAATAAGTTAAAAATCACCGGTTGACCAAAATCCATTATCTTTTGATATAACATTTTTTGACACAGTCTTCATAGAAGTCTTTCAGTCTCACCTACAAATGTCTTCCTTATATTTCTTTTGATATAATAGCATTTGTAACTGCGATGTCTGAGTAGATAGTATGTGGATATAATCCTAGTTCATGTAAATGTTAACATGATTTTACAGAAGATGAGATTCTTGCATATAAAACATCAATGCAGTGATTGTTGAAGTGATAGAGATATGCTTTTGGGACAGACGATAAACCAAACGCACTTAAATAAGCGGTTTCTTTGAATGATCCTAGTTTAAGCTTCCTTGTGGGACGGGCAGGTTCTCATGGAGATATTTCATGCTGCCCTGTTCAGAGAAGTCCGACACTGTGTGACCCTCTCCTCTCAGGACCCACTTAGTCGTAAGCAGTCCCTCTAATCCCACAGGGCCTCTTGCATGTATCCTAGCCGTGCTGATGCCAACCTCCGCTCCTGCACAAATAAAAACACATCAGTTATTCTTGTTTCAAAACGTACATAATTACTCAAGACATGGCTACAGAATCAACATAACATAAAGTCAAGTGGATGCATGTCTAATGTGTTGTCAGTAATCATGACTTTACTCAATGATCAAAATATAAAGTCATTAATTGTCAAATCAACTAGAAGAAGCTGCCATCACCAAAGTACATCAGAGACATGTTAGTGCAATATGAACCGGTTCCGACTGTTAAAAGCACAGGGGCTGGCCTCCTGCTGGTGCCCAGAGTCAGGACAAAACAAGGAGGCTGCATTTTGGATTTATGCAGCTGGGATATGGCGCGGTCTTCCTGAGGTTGTGAGACAGCCCTTTACCCTGACCATGTTCAAAACTAGGCTAAAAACATATTTTTTTCTGTGCATACAACAACTAATTCTATTTTGTACATTTATTCCTTTCATCTTCCTTTTTAAACCCACATTTAAGAGCTTTATACCCCAAACTTTTATACCCTAGACTTTTTATTGCATTTTGATCTGTGATACACATAATAATAATAATAATAATACAAATAAATTATTGATTGATGATGGAAAACTGCAATTTCTTTCGGGAACAGAAACTTGGGAAAAACATTTATTAACTAATAAAGTAATTAAATGCCTGTCAGTATCCCAATGTCAATGAGGCTTTGAAAATACTGAATAAAGAGCAATCAAGCAGGTTGTAATCAAATATCTCTTACGTAGTACTTTCCCATGAGAAGAGCAATCATTTCAACTTTATTTGAACATACCAAGTCCGAACCGGTATCCATCAGCAAACCGTGAGCTTGAGTTCCAGAATACACAAGCACTGTCCACTGTCTGCAAGAACTGCTCAGCCGTCTCCTCTGTAAAATAGAAAATATATATGAATACAAAAGAAACCATGTATTACAAAATATATTATGAGAAATTTGACTTTACAAACAACATTACAAGAAGAACTCACCATTTTCGGTAACAATGACATCTGTGTGTGAGCTGCCGTATTTGTGAATGTGGTCCACAGCCTCTTGCATACTGTCCACAACCTCAATGCAGCATTCCAGATCTCCATACTCTGTCCTCAACGATTTCACTTCTGAAGGACTAAAGGTTAAATATGACGCAAATCTGGGTCCTGCATGGATCTTCACCTGAAGGACCAATAGTCATACCATTTGAATAATGAAAGAAACACAAAAAGAAGCTTAAATCGTTTTTTTCTTTTCTATGTATTTGGGCAAAGGCTGGTAAAAACTGTGTGCATTTGGCAGTTGGCAATTGCTGAAAACTGTTTTTTTTAAATTGTTCTTAATCATGGTGGCAAAACTCCTGTACAAACCGATAACTGTCTAAACAGCACTGTTCTCACACACAGAAAGCACCTTAACTATGGTATCTCAATATATATATTTATGCTGCTACGTAAGTCATAGAAATTACTGTGTGACTGTACAACTTTTTACTATTCAATTTAAGTTCCATCATGTTCAGCTAATCCAAGATATTCGTTATCCATTATTTTTCAACCATCGCAGCTTTTATCTTGATTTCCTATGATATCTCATTCATCTTTTCAGCATGCTCCTTGTATCCCTCCTGTTCTGTAATAAACGAATAAAGGTTATCTAATCTTTTCTTAAACTCTTTGACTATGAGTAATTAGTAATCCTTTAATGGCCGTCATATTACCGTATTACTCTGTCCTTGTGGGTGCCAAAAATATAAATTGTTGGGAGCTTTTAGTGTATTTAATGATTCTCTCACCTCTTCAGTTCGCAGCATATCGATGATCTGGTCAAACATTGGAGTTCGGAGTAAATCTCTATGAATGAGGAGCGTCTCCATGGCGTTGCAGGCAGCAGGGTAGTCACATTTGGAGTCTCGAACTAATACATCAGAACAAATACATCACTAAATTACAACAAAGACAATCAGATGGGTTTTATCTCGAGCGTGACGTACCGACATCTATAGCTTTGTCGAGAGCGGCCTCAGAATCTACATAAACGTGACAGACTCCTTCACTGTGGCCCAGCACAGGAATACCCTTCGCCGCTCTTTGGATGTCGCGTACCAGCTGTGACGATCCTCTTGGAATGATCAGGTCAATCATTTTATCCAGTCTGCAAAGATCTTCTACTTCCTCACGTGTGCTAACCTAAATGACAAGGCAACAAATTCATTATACGAGACATGTGGAGGAGAAAGTGAAAGCTTACCAGTTGCACCGCATCTGCTACTCCATGGATGGACAGCGCTTCTTGCACGAGCTGATGGAGGATTTTGTTTGTGTTGGAGGCTTCTTTGCCCCCTTTAAGAAGCAAGGCGTTTCCACTGGCAATAGCGAGCGCAGATACCTATCACAAAAAAAATTACATTTATTTGTTCTACATTTTAGCATTTCATGTTAAAATATATACTGCAGAATATTGTCTAAATAATAGGAGAAAGGCTGTCAAGAAGCAACAATAACGTCAATCAAAGCTGGGATACCTCATATATAACACATGTTTTTGTTCAAAATGTCTTAAAAATGTAAATTGTTGTAAAAAAAAAAAAAAAAAAACATCAGACCAGATCATGCCATCTTTATTACATTTGAAAACATGCTGTCTTCTTCGTACCAGATAGAATGAGCCCTCTGAGGTACTAATTGAAGCATTGCGTTTTTCACTTTTCTGTTTAAAAAGTGACATGTGTTTTATCATGTGTAACGCTTTTGGTGGTTTGAAAGTTAGGTTCCTCAGCTTTAAATCTGTTTCAGTAGATATTTTTTACAATTGTTTTAGCTATATTTCTGTAGAGGAAAAGCATTGCTCTATCAATACTGCAACCCTGACTTACATTTAACAAGGTCTAGATGAGCATCCATCAAGTAGAAAACAAGGAATACCTCAGAATGAAATAGAGTAAACCCTGTGTGAGCACTGACCTGTGGGAGACAGTCGGGGCGTGACTCAAAGATGACCAACAGGACTCCGATGGGGACCGTGATCTGCTCTAGCTCCAGATTGTTGGCAACTCTGGTCCTCCTCAGCACACGGCCCACACTGTCCCGGGACGACACTGCCAGCTGACGCAAACCAATGGCCAAACTATTCAACTTGGCTGTGGACAGACTCAGCCGGTTTATGAGCGCTTGGGAGAAACGACCTGGAATGAAACAATCAAAACAATCAAAAATGTGTTGTAGAGGTTTTGAATCAAACATCTTGATAGACATATTAAAATTGAATTACCTGATGTTATGGCCAACTCCATGTCCTTCTTGTTGGCATCAAGGATCTCTGCCTTCTTTTCTGTGAGAAGCTCAGCTATACAGCAAATTATCTCAGCTCTCTGAAAGTCACAGTTGAATCAAAAATTAGTCATATTGATTAATATAATGCTTAGTGATAATGATCAATCAGTGATATGAGCAAAAAGCTCATCAAAAGCGATTTAGCATGACATGTCAAAAGAAGCTAATATTTAAATAAGAAATATTAAGCACTATTCTTTACCATTAAAAATATTAATTCAAGCATTTCATGTTTGTTTTATAATGAGAAGTCATATCTTAAGAAATAAAGGCAACAGATGCTGTAACTCCCCGTTCTACCACCAGAGGGAGGAGTTGAATTTACTTGTTTTCTCTCAAATTAGAAAATTACCAGCTGCAAACAGAGCCATGTAATTGTAAAGTAATTGTAAAGTTTTAATTTCACCTGAGAAACTCTCAAAACCAGTTTATTAGCAGGCAGAAAACTATTCTACTACTGATGCTGTAATATAGTTACAACATGTTATAAAATGGAAAAGGTGCACTTTATTGATCCCTGTAGGGCAACACATCCTCTGTATTTGAAACCGGAGTACCCGGAGGAAACGCAAGCATGGGGAGAACATGCAAACTCCGACCAGGATTCGAACCCAAGACCTTCTTGCTGAGAGGCGAGAGTGCCGCTACCGTGCCACCCATGTAATAACAGGTTTGAGACAGGATCTTATGTATACGAGTTTTAAGTTTTTAATATTAGCGAGGGATCAATATTGTAACATTGTTAAAACATAAAAATGTCTTCCATGTCTCCTTTAAACTGTAAACTTCTCGCTGAATTGAGGCACATGGCTGAGTTGACCTGTTCTGAATCCAGAGACGCCAGTGTCCTCCCCGCATGTCGGGCCATCTCCGTCTGCTGCTCCACGGTGGGACCCGCTGGTTTCACTTCAGAAAAGAATGTTCCTACTTTCTTTCCTTCCACAATGTCTGTAATCACATGACCCGTGACTTTAGGGTCCGTCCCGTTCGCAATGACGACTGAGGTACCACCCTGCAGTGCCCACAGAGCCGCTTTCACCTGGTTCACAAAATATGCATTATTATACTGTATTTTAACAGAATTACTTTAACTCTCAATTTTTATTCAAAAGTCTTCACAAGAAGGATTTATACGTAAAGAAATCACTTAGGGGGGAGAGAGGTGAGCAAAGGAAACCTTATAATGTATGCAAATGTATGATGCATTGTGTGTTGTTGCATAGTATGTAAATACTATAAATTACAACGATTGATTCCTGTTGAAATAAACAAATGAATGAAACTGAGCTCACCTTTGCTTCCATGCCACCGATTCCCACTCGTGACTTGTTTCCGTATGTAATGGACTGCTGATCTCCAGGATAAAATATATCAAGGAGTTTGGCATCATCAACACCAGGAGGTCTGTCATACAAACCTGTAGCAAGAGGAAAGATGTTAATTCACCAAAATGTCTATAATACAAAACAAAAGAAATAATTAGAACTATAAATAATTGCTCAGAAAGTATCCTCATTTTTTTCACAAATGTTATGTGAAACAGACAGAAGGTTGGTGCCCTGAAAATGTATAAGCAAGAGAGGACTACTAAATATTTCATAAAGAAAACAATTATTGAAATCCAGGCCGTTGCAAAGAAAAAACGCTGCAGTCATGGGCTTTGATGAGAAATTCTGCAACTAAAGCGGCCTGACAGTTGTGCGTGGCCATTACCAAGCAAATAATTGAAATCCATGTTACCTTCTACATCTGACAAAGCCACCAACAGGTCGACTTTCATCTCCACAGCCAAACGTGCGGCCAGACTGTCATTATCTTTGATGCTAATGACCTGAAACACAAACAGGAAGTCCACTCAAAAGGATCCTTCTGTTACAGCGTCACATCTATTATACAAACTAGTGTCACAGGATGTTCACCCAACACACAGAAAAAAAGACTCCTAGAAAAGGCAAACGTATAAGATTACAGTATATCAAGTGCAATGTACATGTGAAACAAAGTATCAGCATTTCATTTGAAAAAATAATTTTGTATACAAAACACATAAATCAGAGGTCTGATTTCATTCATCAGAAAAGGTACTTCGGAAAGACTTAAGACAATTATTTAATTGTACATGTTTGACAACTACAAAATTGTTGCTTATGGGAATAAGCATTTCATATATAAGCATTTTTATTTTCGCAATTAATTATGCTATTTGAGTCAGTTTCACTGAATGTTTGGAATGAAAGAATAGGTTGTGATGTGACATCACAACATTACAAGAGTCCATAGTTTAAAATGGAGAACCACACACCTAGATACAGACAGATACCACGACAGACACACAGCTCATTCCACCTGCACCAGAGAAATTGAAAGAGTACGATAGAAATGCGCCCAGATTTACCAGCCGACAGCAACATTAGTGGAGCACAAACATTCCCAGCATGCCCATCACACAGTACCCACATTTACCCCCTGGAGGTCAGAGCTGGGCACAGGGGGAGGCACCACCGCGTCGTTCGTGTTGATGATGGGAACGATGTTCATGCGCATCAGCTCCAAAAGGGTGCTGTTCAAGTTCCGCCGTTTCTGCTCGTCATGGAAGTCCAGGTTGGTCACCAAAATCTGACACAAAAAGGGATATGGGAAATATCTTTTTTTCTTAAAGTTGGTTTGATCCAGACAAAAGGTAGAATCCTGAAACTAAAAAATGTATGGAAATGTTTGAGGGAAGCCAACTTTGGCACCTAAAGGGTTAAACCACTGGGGAAGCAGGAGGCTGATTGCAAGCTTGCATTCAAAAGTTATCTTCTTGAAATGTACTTACTGACACTCAGTTGACAAAATGTCAAATCAGGACAAATGTTCAAAAAATAAAATAAATAAAAAATAAAATAAATAAAAACACTTTACTTTATGATCATAGAACAGGAGAATAAATAGAATAATTTGCACATAGAATATACACTTACTGCATGCCCTCATGAGGCATTAATAAAGTATCTATATCTATATATCTATCTTTCTTTCTTTTCAGTGTGGTGTTGTTTGTGAAATGGACGAGAGACTTGGGAGTTGCGTACTTGGGCAGTGCAGATGCTGTACTGTGTGAACATGGCTTCATACAAAGCCATGAGTCCGCTCTGTCCTGCAGCAGCACACGCTCTTGCCTCCAGCACTGGCAGAGACTGGAAAGAGAAAACACCACAAGACAATCAACAACATGCATACTCATTGACTTAGACAGAAATAAATAAAACTCACCATTTCTTTCAGTTGATTTGGGCCTGAATGTAAAGCTTGTCTGACACTTTGAGAAAGGAGAATTTCATGTCTTAATCTCTGTCTTCCAAAAGCTACAGCTCCACTCGTGACAATCATCATCTCTCTGCCCTGATTCTGGAGCATGGCCACCTGAAAGCAACACAAATCGTATCACACAGACATGTCAGAAATGACACTAAAAGAACTAAACATAGAACTTAAAGCTGGGGTGCCCCAGTATTTTGTATTTTGACTCACTGAGGGCTGTGAAAAGTATAAAACTTGGACACTAATCAATTTGATACAATTGAAATAGTATCAAAAGTAGATCTTAATTTGAGCAAGTATCTAAAATATGACAATACATAGAAAAGGAAGGAATAACTTTAACATCAGTAAAATAAATTAGCTTTTTGTAATTACTTAAAATTAGCTAAAAATTGTTATAGAATCTAAAGAAAGTTAAGTTGTTTAAGTTCAAGTTGATTAACACGATGACAAGCTACCGTCATTATTGCAAATAGTACAAAGATGAATGCGCTCAAAGTTATAACTGTTTGTATAAAGATGAATATACAGAATACAACATAATAACAAACCTGTTCTACAATGGAGGCGAGGCGTCCCAGTGCGAGTCCACACTCATCTCCTCGAGTGACCACAGCACTGCCCAGCTTCACCACAATACGCTTGGCCTGTTTCAGCTCACTGCGGTGGACAAAGGACTTCCCATTGGGGCGTGGGAGGGAAACTACACAAGAAAGAAGCAATTCAAATACAAAATCTAATTCTTAAAACATACATTGATCAGAATAAGCTATGTGTAACTGATGTACTTACATTTAGCCTTTGAGAAAGCTCTGTTTGGGACTGGGCAAACATGTCTATGGGCTCTTGATGGCAGCCGAGAGCACAAAGCCAGTCGAGCAAACATGGCACAAAGATCTATGGACAATAATAAACAACATGTGTTATATTGTAAATAGCGCTGTAATTAATCAGTATTTAAAGTATTAGTTAGTCTATTATTCTTTTGCTTAATTGTTTAGTTGTTTAGATCGCAAAAGGTTAAAAAACAAAGTGATGCACCTGGAGAACATCTTCACGTTCAGCTTGATTAATAATACTTGCATTTCATTCTGCCATTATCGAATTTTCTGTCATTAAACCTGTTCTCTGTATGTTTAAGTCTATATTATGTTCAATCACGATTCATTGATTACTTATTTCTAGTTGACATAGAATATTTTTTTTTGCAATGAACTTGTTACAGCTCTTATTGTAAAAGCTGGACATGGACTTCATCTGTCTTTAGTCCATACTTGTACAGTTGACCAGTGACCTGATAGCACTAAGACAATATAAATGCATTTATCTCATAAAATGATCCATTCAGCATCCGAGATTTAATGTAATATTAACTATTATTCAGATATCTAGCAATACAAACACATTGAAACACAAACAGTGGCAATATTATGGGTAAGGAATGCTTTACATCTGTATATTATGAATCATTATCACAACGTAAGTACAGTCATTGAATGCCATTTAATGTACTGTACATTCTGTTTCCATTCAAGTCTAGTCTAGTGACGATTATAAGCAATCGAAAGACAAAGAAAGTCGAGTTTTATATTCTGTGAAACTATTCAAATATATGCATCACGTCCTGTATTGTACTGAGCTGAATTAAAAGACATGTCACTAAACCAAAACACTTATGTGGCTCTCGTTAGCATTAGCTCATGTGCTACATAGAGCTGAATATAAAGCGATATGACAGCGTTTTCACTTTGAACAGAATATAGCAGCATATTTATTACCTTTCTCTGTGAGGGGAGAGGAGTCCGCTTGTGGATGTGTTGAGTTTACGGCAGGGACACGTCTTTAGGCTGTGGTCCTGAAGGAGAAGCTGCCACATCCACAGCCCACATGGGTCTGTCTCAGACTCTCTGATGATGAAAGAGCTGCGGCTGAGAGCACAACACTGCCCCCTGTGGACCAGGGGTGGACACGCAACAACACAAACCACTCATGAATGCCATAAGAGAGATTTATAACCACATTTGAAGTCATGTATTTTTGATAATGCGCTCTGTTCGACTCCAGGAATAATATTTGTGTTTGATCAGCTAATGGAGATTTTTAAAAAATACAATACAATAGATATAAGGCAAAAGTAGTCTTAGATATAAAAGTAAACAAATGCAAATTGTGTTGATTTTTTTTTTTATCTTTTTTTTTTGATTTTTTACAGTTACAGGATATACGTTCAGAAGGATTTTGGTAATTAGGTCATCACATACAATAATTGTAATTTGAAGTTGGGCGGCACAGTGGATAGCATTCTCGCTTCTCAGCAAGAAGGTCCTGGGTTTGAATTCCAGCCGGAACAGGGCCTTTCTGAGTGGAGTTTGTATGTTCTCCTCGTGTATGTGTAGGTTTCCTCTGGGTGCTCCCGTGTCCCCTACCACTAAAAACATGCACAATAGGTATGAATGTAAATGAGAGAGTGAATGGATGGTGTTGATTGGAGGCTGATGCGTCAGTGTGTTCAGCAACTCGCTTCCTTCATCACCGTGTGTGGAGTGATTCTGAACTCTGAACATTGTAAAGCGCTTTGGGTGATTTGGTCTGTAAAAATGTGCTATATAAAATAAACATTACTTACTATGCATGAATTTAAGCTGGGTCATCTAACTTTTTTCATGAATTATAATTTTTCATTGTCCCAACAGGAACTAATTGTTGTAAACAAATCAGACTACATCATGCTGTCTTCATATTATCATAAAACTTGTTATTATCCTTTTATGAAAGAACCATGTAGTGAGTCACCACTATGTAGTTCATGTTTGGGGTTAGGGAAGGGTTAAGGAGAGTTCGATTTGAAGGAAATTAGAAACGTTATCACATTAATCTTGATTGTTGTTTGTTCACTCTCCCATTGCAGGCACCTGTGTTTTGGAGCTGCATATCTACGCATCTGTGGTAACTGGACCCTGCAGGACACTGGTGCTGTGCTCAGGCCAGTGCCCCATCAAAGTTTCATGAAGAGGGAGAAGCCCGCATCCAAAAACGCTCTCACTAAACGCTTCTACACCAGCTGCTGGACGAGTCATGGAGATTTTGAAGTGTCCCGTCTGCCAAGATTTATTTACTGACCCGGTAACTTTGGAATGTGGACACAACTTCTGCTTGAGCTGTATTAACACCGTTTGGGACAATGGAGGTTCAGAGGAAGGACCTTATTTTTGTCCTGAATGTCAAGTGTTACTTTCCACAAAACCTAATTTGGAAATCAACTGCAAGCTTCAAGACAAAGTTAAGGAATTTTCAGCTACAGATGAAACAAAGACAAATCCTCCGACTGTCCACTGCGACCACTGCATTGAGTCTCCCTCCGTGGCGGTCAGGACGTGTCTCACCTGTGATGCGTCTCTGTGCCAGGCTCACGCCCTCCTCCACCAGCAGAGATCAGCCCTGAAGCTCCACACTTTGGTGGAGGTGACACGGGACCCTCTGTCTCTGAAATGTCCTGAGCACAGGGACGAGCTGAAGCTGTTCTGCTCCCAGGACAGAGTTCCAGTCTGCTGCCTCTGTGTGCTGGTCGGGGCACACAAGAACCATAAGGCACCACAACTGCATGAGGCTTGTGATGAATTCAAGGTATTGCAACAAAAAAAAAACATTCTCCCAATAGACTCTTGCAATAGTAAAACGTGATTTACGTCTTATTAGAAAACATGTTATCTTTTACGTAGCCTATACGAGATCCTTGTGAGTCACTATTTGACACTTCGGTGTGAGAGAAGACTGTATGTGTGATCCAATCTTTTTCACTTTGTCTGAAAAGGCTGATCTAAAGATCTTGTTCATTGATAAATTCATTGTCTTTATGGAATTGAATCTGGTTCAAAGCCAATCTTTAAACCAGTGAAATAAAAACAAATAAACATAACCTCACTGAAAATAAAATTCACTTGATTATGGTGATAAATAATTGACATCTTATTCAGTTAACAGAAGTTAGTTGGAATTCCCGAAAGAAGAGTTCAGAAGTAAGAGGAGTTAAAAGTGCAGGTGTTCATGATCTGTTGTTTTAATGTCTAGACTTTGCTGCAGCGTTCCATGAATCAGCTTCTGAAGAGGAGAAATGATGCCGAACATACAATCAAGGAGTTGGAGTCTTTCTATCGACAAACAGTGGTAGGTTTTAACATATTTCACATAATTTGCATATTTCACATTATTTAAATATTCACATCAATGCTGTTCTGAGACATGGGTTTCACACATTCATCAGTGGGGGATATGTGTTTGTCTGGTGAGGAACTGACATTGTGAATGAATCCAGCCACATTGTGAATGATGTCATTCATAGCTAACAATTTCACAAACACATTTTTGCTGCGGTTACGGCGACTCTCCTGGTTCGCAGAAGTCGGCTGCTGACCTACGGGAACGTATCTCCGACAAGTACAGCCGGCTCCACGTGGTTCTGGATGGAGACGAGCGTTTGATGCAGCAGATTGTGGACGCAGAAGAGGCCTGTGTGACCGACTGGCTGGACGTCCAGAGGGAGAAGATAGAGGTGGAGATCCGAGACATTGACCGACTCAGGACGTCCACCAAAACAGTTCTGCAGGAGAACAACCAGCTCAAGTTCCTCCAGGTAAATGTAAATGGTCATTTTATTGGAGTTCTTCTGTTATCACAACATTGTATGCATTTTTTTAGGGTGGGTATGTAGTGGTTCATTTGGCAAGGTATTGTGTGTGTTTTTTATGTTTCTTCCCAAGCTCTTATTCTTTCTATTTTTTGATCAGTAAAAAAGTGTGAAATGCTTTTTAGCTGACAATGATAATTCATACAGCAAACACTGTGTCCTGGGGGAACCATTTCCATTGACAACTATTAACAAAATACTATCTTGAAATTCACAGCAAATTACAGCTCAGAATATGTGGTAAGTTTCATCTACAGTTTTTGTCAGTTTATTTGCTTTTGCCAATACTATTCAGTCCTATCGGTTTCCATACAGTGATCCGCTGGACCTTCCCCCTCTGCATGCGGTGGACCAGTTTCTCTGTGAACCTGACAAGTTGAGGACTGTGGAGCGAATGGTGGATGATCTATCAACGTCTCTGTCTCAATATTTTCCTAGAACGTGGTCATGTTAGTGCTGCACATTCAAGTACTCTGCTATCTAAAACAAACTGCTCCTGTGCAAATAATGAGACTTTTTTTGTATTTACAGATCTAAGTTCCCCAGATTTGGACTTTAAAACAGCCCATCCCAAATTGGAAATATCCCAGGACAAAAGGCAAGTTTGTTGGAGAGATCATCCAGCAAGCGTCATTCCGAACAGTAGTAGACCTTGTGATTCTCAATATAGTGTTTTGGCTGAGGAAAGTTTCACCAAGGGGCGGCATTATTGGGAAGTCATTGTGCAAGACAAACCATATTGGCTAATCGGAGTCACTACTGAACGAACCCCAAAAAATAATGGATTTACAAGCCATTCTGTAATTGGTTTGGACAAGTCATCCTGGTGCATCTATCACGCAGACGGTCAATATTTGGCCTGCCATGATGCTGAAGAGAAGCCCTTATCTTTGCAGAAAAAGGTGAAAAAGTTGGGTATTTTTGCAGATCTCCACAAAGGGGAGCTCTTGTTCTATGATGCAGATGCGATGGCCTTGATTCAGTCCTTCCCAGTGAAATGCCAGGAGCCCATGTTTCCCATGTTTAACCCTTGCATAGACGTGAACGGGGTCAATAAGCAGCCACTGGCACTGTTTTGCATCAAAGAGCCCTGGGACTGGTGCGACGACACACAAGAAGAAGGAGAAAAAGATGCAGAGCTGGAAAAGAATGAGTGATGTTTATATTGTAAATCAGTAAATCAGTGGACAGGCAAGGCAGGCGAACACTTGGGGCCTGCAGTCAATACATAAAGTTGCACATATTTTAGTATAATTGCTGTTTTGCATGCTATTGTAGTTTCCTTAATAAAACCGTGACAAGTACTGTATATAGGCAAACACAACCTGCATTTAAACATAATGAACATTTTTTAATAAGTCATAAAGCCCATAAGGATCAATGAGGAAACAGGTGGAATGATTAATATTGTACACACTTTAAAGGGAGCGTGTGTGATATTTTCATCTTTATATTACATGTATATCTTTTATATGTCCCCAGTTAATTGGTCAACATATACAGCTCATATGTTTAAGTGAAAATTACCAAGCAAACAAAAATAACACCACACATTTGTTTAAATGAAAGTAGATACAAACACAAGTAGTCTCGTGTAATACACAGAGTTTGAACCATTACTATTAAAACCCCAGAAGATGGATTACATCAGTAATCTGTGTTTAGAAGCTACAGCACAGACAGGATAGATTCTGGCAACAAAAGTTGGATTGTAATTATTAGACCACTACTTGTGCATATTACAAAGGGACCCTCAAAGTGACTACTTGTGGCTTTAGAGACAGTCTAAGAATCCATTATCGAGCAGTGCACATTTCAAATCATTATGCATAATAATATGTATGTAATGTAAAAGAATGATGCTTCTGGGCCACATGGGGACCTTTGCGATAGCAGGTACCATCTCTCACTGCTTTATTAGACTATGATAAATATGTGTTGCTTGCGGGCATATAGAAATCACACTCACACAGCAATCCTACGTTCTCCAGTTGTAAAATGTATTTCAGTTGTTCTTGTACATTTCTTGATAATGAGTGATGATTAGTTCTTCTGACAGCGTTTTGATGAATGACTCGCTTTGGTTCAGAAAATAAATGACCCATGAGTGAACTGTCTCTTTCTTTACTCTGCTCTGTTGACCAAAGAGGACACCCACTCCCACGCCCAGTCCTGACCCTTGTCATAAAGTAGGCTCTAGACTCTTTTAGGCTCTAGATTCACAGCACGATAAATACAAATTCATACTGCTCATACTGAGGCTCAAAGAAATAGAAATAATAGATGTTGATATGAACAAATAAACTGGCTACTCATTACCAGTGTGATGTATTTATTTTAAAAAAAATGTTTACAAGTGAGAGCCCTGGTGTAAGTGAACTGAGAGTGGATCAAAGGAGGATCCTTCATTCTTTTACTTCCATCTGGAAAACCTCTATTAAATCTGTGATAGAGCCTAAAACTGTGCATGTTAAAACTGTCTGAGAGTTATACAGAAGCTGGATGGAAATGGTTTGTATTGTCAGTTCCAAATACAAAGGTAAAAGAAAGCAGATAGATTTTATAAGAATTTATTAGAAAGGTCAAATGAAAAACAAAATAGCAGGTTGAGAGGCACTCAAGCCCAATGGTCTTGATTGAAAAGACACACGACTCACACGTACAAATCCGCAGGCTCTTTTGGACTTATGCAGCCGGAGCCATGACCTTAGACCGGATCCAGTCCAGGTAGTTTGAAACACGGGTGTAGACTCCAGGTTTGTTCTTCTTCCCGCACTGATCTCCCCAAGACACCAGCCCATAAACAACATGAGCGGTGTCCTGTTCGCAAGTCAGCGGCCCGCCCGAGTCACCCTGCAATATAGGACAAAACCGTTATTATAGACTCACTTTTGCATTTTTATATAAAGGCAAAGATTAGAACACATTCAGGGAGCCATAAGCAAAATTAATTTCAAGGGCCAGTTGAGTACAACGTTTTCACAAATTAATTCTTGAAGCTTTTAGTGCAGAGATGACATGAGAAAACAACTACAGGTTGATTTTACACATTTTTTTCCCTCCATATGCCTGGGTGTAGACGCCTGGGTGTACACCATACTCCCAGAAAATTCCGAAAGGAAATTGTCGAGAACCATTTCCAAAAAATGTCATGAGTACTAATGTAGCTGAACCTTGATTCCTTGTGTACCAGATAAACGGTAAAGAGTTGGTCTAGTGTTCTGTGGCTGGGATAAAAATAAAAAAAACACCTGTCAATAAAGACAGTCCCTCAACATCAACATCCTGACGTAATATAGGACAGTTCTCACCCAATCCCAAGGCTGCCAATGACCTCACCTGATTTCAGCCAGGAAGTTTGAAGTATTGTCCAAAGTTTCTCAACCTCTGCCGCCAAAGTGCAGGGATTGAGGAGAATCTCAAAGTATTCCTTACACAGCTCAATAATCCTCGATTGACGTCAGAAATGACATTGCTGACTTGTGTGTAGATTGCATACATAACAAATCTGATACAAGAACCTAATGGTGCCTGAGGTGCTCACTGACCTGGCAGGAGTCCACGCCTCCCTGCAGGTGTCCCGCACACAGCATGCCCATGTCCAAAGTATTGCCGTAGATTTCTGGACGAGAGCATCTTTCTTTGTTAATCAGCAGCACTTTGGCCTCGAGCAGGTGCTGGGAGCCATAAGAAGCTATAACGAGAAAACAGACGTATGCATGTTTACAGTCATCCAGCTGTTTGATTTGCTTAACAATGCACAAATCTGTTGAAATGCTTAAGTATGCGGGAAATCAATTGCTGGCATCATGTTTATGTGTCAATAGAACCTTGTAAACAGCATGTTGGCTTCAAACTAATGCTAAAAATTGCATTGGGATCAATTCTGATAAAAACAGGTGGAGAAACTCACACTATGTTCTGATCATTTAGTTTTCAACCATAATACATACTCTAAATCTTTACAGCTATTAACCTCCCTTTCTTTCTACTGTTCTGAAACATGCATTGCAACACTTTTGGAATTTTGAATTGTCCTTACAGTTCTCAGTGGCCCCCCATCCAGAAATAGTGCACTCTGTCCCATCAGGCAGAGCGGCATCTGGGAGACAGACCTTCTTCACAAACTGGGACTCCTTGGCGCATTGACCATTTTGACCTTGCAGTCGCAGCAGAGCTACAGAAACACAAATGATTCTTGATGTTACCAGTGGCTCATGAGGGTTTGTATCGATGGTCATTATAGATGTTGTTGTTATTAATAACTTGCCTATGTCATTGTAAACAGCATATGACTTTTCATTATAGTTTTCATGTCGAATCGTCTCCACCACAGTTAGTTCCTGCTCAGTGGGTTCTTCTGATGAGAGGTCCTGGCTTCCCAAAACCACCTGCATGTCCCTATTCGTTTGACTACAAAAAACACACACACACACACACACACAATTACAAACAACACAGGCCAGTTTATTGCGCTGTATTGTGTCTAATATAGCCATGGTATAGTCGTATGATAAAATCATGTTCAACTCATTCTCTTAATCCTGGGCCTTTATAAAGTATTTCAGCACCGTCTTAATAGCTGAGATTGGGGATAAATAAAGTAAATAGTAAATAAAAAATAAATAAATACAGTTTTGTTGCCTAAACCACCACAAGCCCTCCACTAAAGTGAAAAAAATCAGCCCCTTGTTTTAAAGATAAATACTTTAATGATCCCCCATGGATGAAATTCAAGACTGTTGTGATGTTTTTGAAAGTGAAACCCATCAATAGTTTATTTGTATGAACTGTTGTTAAGGCAGACATCATACATAGCTTCAATGTATGAAGCTATGTATGATTGGTCTCTTATATTTCCACCTTTGTCTAAATATCAATAATATGTAAATAGTAGTAACTTTCAAAGCTAAGAACAAGGCCTGGTAAGAACTGTGGTGGGAGGTCTTTGGGAACACCAGGTGCTACAAATGGTATGAGTTCGTGATTGGTGATGGTCTGAGGGGCAGGTGACACATGGTTGCCTCGCTTCTGTCTGTCTACCCCAGGGCAACTGTGGCTACAGTAGTGGGTTACCATCACCGTGGATGGAGTGAATGAATAAAAAACTCATGCGACGCATTGTTGAGTGTCCATGAAAGTTGCTTGGTATAAACTGAAACACAAAAAAACATAAATCCACTCTGGTCTTTACTTACATGCAGTGTCCAGCGGTGAGCACCCAGCAGCTCTCGATCAGCACTCCTCCACAGGTGTGTCTGAAGGGCAGGTTGGAGTTCTGAGGTCTCACTTGTATTGACGCTTGCCACGGAATAGCACCAGGGGTTACTTTGAGACCCCCGAAAATACGAGTGATGGGTTTCTTGGGCTGTGGCTGTCCGCATGTCTTGAACTGTGCGTCCGTGGTGTTGTCTGTGCTGGGGGTGATGGAGGGGGGCATAGCGGTGTAAGCAGTGGTCTGGTCTGCTGTGGGGGCAATGGAAGGCAGCATAATAGAAGATGTGGTACTCTGGCCAATGGTAGGGGCAGGGTTGGTGGGAGAGGGGGGCTGTGTTGGGTCAGGGGTAGGAGGAGCCGGTTTGGTTGGAGCCGGCTGGTCTGTAGGTTCAACTGTAGCTGGTTCATCTGAAAAGGAAAAAAAAAAAGATAAGTAGGGTCAGAGAGTGTTTGGGCCCGTGTCTTGTGTGTGTCGTTTGTCTAATACCATTGGTGGTACTGTATTCATTGTATTACTGTGTGTGTAATGAAGCTAAAGCAGAAATTCAGAGTGGAAGACCTGAGAACCCAGGAGCGCCCACAGCAACAGCAACGCGTCACGCAAATTCTCACCTGCAGCAATCAGGCACTGCCCGCATCAGCTTCATATCACGCAGAAGCTCCATCCAAGCAGCAGCTTCATTCATGCCGCAACCCTCCTCCTCCCCATCTCCGCCTTGTTCTAGGCCAGCTCCTTCATCCCTCTCCTTGCTACCATCACCAGGGTCTAGGCCCCGGGGGATTTCATCTCATAATCGCTTTCCCCTTCTGCAATCGTGCAGTGCTCTGCCGGGGTCTAAGCGCCAAATCCCAACCACATTCTGTTCAGCAGAATAAATGTAATCTTGAGAATATTGTCTTTAGTGTCAGATGTGTAATTCATGCAGTATCAGATTACCTGTTCGAGTCTCTCCATTTTGAATTACTGTTGTGTAATACTGTTGTGTGATTGGATGATTCTACTGTATGGTAGTATTGTGTTTTTTTGTGTCGAATGGGGGAGAAGAGAAAGGGATATTGCAAGTGTGCGCTTTGTCCAAAACACTTTAATTGTGTTGATTTGATGTGAAAACGTTATGTGTAAGTTATATGGCATGTTCAAAAAGAGTCATTCAATGTCGTGCAAAAGTGTAAATATTAGCAGCTTGTATTCTGTAGTTGTTTGACTATGAACAATTTGCAATTTCTCATGTATATGTATTATGGATGTACTGTATGTATTAAATATGTGGCAAGTTGCAATAAAGCTTGTAAACAAAAGAATAACATAGAGGAGATCAAATAGTTTAGAGCCTCTTTACCCGTTGGATCATCACAGCGTCGGACGTCACAATAGTCCCACAAGAGTCTGCGGCCTCTTCTGAAGAAGCACCAGGGCATTTGAGATCCATCAGGATTTCTGTAAAAGGAATAGGTTTGTCGGCTCTACTGGTACAACAGGGTTAGGAACATGTGAAATAGTTCAATGTCAACAACAAAGATTTTTATTAAATCTGTGATCTGGTAGATTGTTGTCTGCACTCTCTGCTAATAACAGTCTTATGGTGTTGTTGGTCGTTGTAGTGTATTTAATAAGACTCGGACAGTGATCACATTTCGTGACGAACTTTACTTAGCCAACAACCTGTCTGTCAGAAGCAACCAGACAAAGCGCATGCGTAACAAATGGACTATACCAAATCTCCAACAATAGGGGTGAATACACCACATCATCCCCCTTTTAAAATAGGAACAATATTTTTGTATTCAAATTAGTGCAGTAGTAAGCTTGTACATATTAACAATAGAAGTTACCAAATAATCATGCCAATAATCAAATAACAATTATCTGATGTACAACTGAAAACAATAATATCAGAATATGTAGTATTCAATGCTATTTTAACTGATTACTTGCTATTCAAGGTATCTATTTGGTTTTTTGCGAACACGCTCAGAGCGCCTCACAGTCACTGATGGTGTCCACAGTCGTCTCAACTGGTGTGTCATTTCCGGTATTTTGCATTTCTGCTTCAAAAGTCTCAGTGTCTATATCGGTCTGTTCAGGTGATGCTCTGGCACGTAGTTGGTCCCCATGACGTCTGTGCACCGTGTCAGAGTCTCTCTCCTTGACTTGATAAGATACTGGACCAGTTTGTCTCACAACTTGTCCAGGAATCCACTTGTGAGCTCCTCCCGCTGTGTTGCGCAGATACACATACTCATCCATTTCAAAAGTGCGGTTCTCAGCTGAGTAGTCGTGTTGATCTTTTTGTTGATATTGCTTCTTACGAACAGTCTCTTTGGTGTTAGGCTTCAAGAAATCCAGCCGGGTGCGGACGTGTCTGTGAAGAAATAGATCCGCTGGAGACTGACCTGTTGTGCAGTTGGGGGTGGTCCGGTACTGTAGCAAGAACAGCGACAGTTTGTCCTCGATGCTACAGGGCAGGCTGGCAAGTTTTTTCATTCCTGTCTTGAACGTCTGAACATATCTCTCTGCCAGACCATTTGTTGCAGGATGCCCTGGTGCACTAGTTGTGTGCAAGATGCCATTTTGTGTCACAAAGATTTGGAACTCCTCAGATGTGAAAGTAGTTGCATTATCAGTCACTATCTGTTCAGGAAGTCCATATGATGCAAACAGTCTTCTCAACCTCGTTACTGTTGCTTGAGTTGTTATTTGTGACATGCGAAAAACTTCCAACCACTTTGTATATGAATCCACGATGATCATAAACATACTGTTCAGAAAAGGTCCTGCAAAATCTATGTGCAGTCTCTTCCAGGACTCACCTGGAAACTCCCATGGGTGGAGTGGTACTTGCTGTGGCATTTTCTGCTCACGTTGGCATATTTCACATTGTTTGCATACTTTTTCAATGTCAAAATCCAGGTTAGGCCACCAAGTATATTTGCGGGCTAGAGCCTTTGACTTCACTATCCCCTGGTGTCCTGAATGTATTTCCAGCAGCACTGCTTTTCTCATTTTTGCAGGTACAATGACTCTGGTTCCCCACAGTACACAGCCTTGCTCTGTGGAGAGTTCATTCCTTTTTGTATAGTAGACCTTTAAATTCTCATCTGTGAGAGCGGGCCAACCTTCCATCACAAACTTGTACACTTTTGACAAATCCGGGTCAGTGCGTGTTGCTCTTGCAATTTGAGTGGCATTTAGCGGCGCTTCATGTAAGTGCTCTGTAAGTAGTGAGTGTACTGTCTCTGAACTCACAGCTGTCCCAACATCACAAGTCTCTGGTAACGGACAGCGTGACAGTCCGTCTGCGTTGCTGTGCTCTGCTGATTTCTTGTAAATAATGTGGTAGTCATACGCTGAAAGTATGATCGCCCATCTTTGAATACGTGCAGCTGCCAGTGTGGGTAGACTTTTGTGCTCACCAAAAAGCGTCAGCAGGGGGCGGTGATCCGTTGCTAGAGTAAAATGTCTACCCCACAGATACTGGTGGAACTTTTTAACACCATAGATCAGTCCCAGAGCTTCTTTCTCTATTTGGGAATACTTCTTTTCAGCTGGAGACAAAGTGCGAGAAGCATAAGCTACGGGCCTCTCTTCCCCATTTGGCATTGTGTGTTGGATGACTGCCCCGATGCCATATGCAGAGGCATCACAAGCTAAAGTGAGCGGTAGATTTGGGTCATAATGTGCCAAGACCTGATCACTTGTTAACACTTCTTTGCATTTGACAAATGCTGCCTGCTCACTCACAGTCCATTTCCAAGTAACATTGTCTCTTAGCAACTTGTACAGCGGAGCAAGTACTGTGCTTTGCATTGGTACAAATCTGCCATAGTAGTTAACAAGTCCCAAAAACGCTTGTAACTCTTTCACATTTGTTGGAGCAGGAGCGTCCTGTATTGCTCTCACCTTGTCTTTTGCTGGGTGGATGCCGTGCTCGTCCAACACGTGTCCCAGGTACTCAATCTGCTCTTTGTCAAACTCACACTTGGAACGTTTCACTCGCAACCCATTTTCCTGTAGACGTTGCAGAACATATTCCAAGTTATCATTGTGCTCCATTTTATTGCGTCCAGTGATTAACAGGTCATCCAGGTAGACAACCACTGGCAAATCCTTCATGATGTTTTCCATAATGCGCTGGAAAATTGAAGGCGCGGAGCTAATTCCAAAAGGAAGCCTATTGTAGACAAATAGTCCCTTGTGCGTGTTGATGGTCGTGTACTTTTTAGACTTCTCATCTAACAACACTTGCTGATAAGCTGCTGCAAGATCTATTTTTGAAAAGATTTTACCTCCACTGAGGGTCGCAAGCAGTTCCTCCAGACGTGGCAGCGGGTACGTGTCTGTCTCAATGGCCTGGTTCACTGACACTTTGTAGTCTCCACATAAGCGCAGTGATGTGTCTCTCTTGAGCACTGGCACAATAGGTGCTGCCCACTCACTGTGCTTTACAGGCGAGATTATGTTTGCTTTTTCCAACCTTTTCAGTTCATTTTCAACTTTTTCTTTCATTGCAAATGGGAGTGGCCTGTGTTTGCAAAACTTAGGGGGTACCTCTGGCTTCACGATGATGGAGGCTGTAATGTCCTTGAGAGTGCCCAAGTCGTCCTTGAACACGTCACAGTATTTGTCCAGCAAGTCCTGAATGGTATGTGGCTTTGTCGCTGTCACATATTTGATCAGTTTCCAGTTGAGCTTTAGTTCTCTCAGCCAGTTCCTGCCACAAAGCGATGCTCCATGCCCTTTTACAACCAACAATGGCAGTTCAACTTTTTGCTCTTCGTACCCCACTTTTGTATAAAACTGTCCTAAAACAGGAATGCGCCCTCCATTATAAGCTTTGAGTTTAACTTGAGCTGGCTGTAACGGCACGTGTGAAAACTTCCTCCCATAAGTTTCTTGTGAAATCACACTTCTTGCCGCTCCAGTGTCTATTTCCATGTCCAGATTCACCTTGTCAATAGAGAACGTGGCCCTGTACAGCTCATCATCTTCACTACTGACTGTCATTATGGCGAACTCCTCTTGCTCTACATCCTCGTTTGCTGTCATGTATTTTGTGTCTTTACATTGGAATCTTTTATTTGGTTGTGCATTTTGTGATTTTGTACGACATGCCTTTTTGAGATGTCCAATCTTTCCACAGTTGTGACATTTAGTCTCTTTGAAATGGCACTCGTTTGCATTGTGATTTTTGCCTTTGCATCTGTAGCAAGTTTTGGTTTTGTCCGGTCTCACTTTGTGAATTGCTCCAGCACCGACAAGTTCACTGTCAGCTCCTCTTAGCTGTCGTGTGTCCCTATCTGCAGTTTCCATGTTGAGCGCGATCTCAAAAGCTTTTGCAAATGTGAGTCTATCTTCAGAGAGCAATCTTCTTTGGCACGTTTCATTTTTGATCCCACAGGGACGAACCTGTCCCGCAATGCAGAATCCAAATTGGCACCGAACTCACAGTTTGTAGCTTGTTGCTTTAGCTCCGCTACATACTGTGCATACTGATTTTGTTTTTGGTTGCACTTATTAAAACGGAACCTTTCAGCGACTAAAATGGGCTTCGGCTCAAAATGCTCTTTTAAAATCGTCACAATATCTGCAAATGATTTATCTTTGGGCTTGTCAGGCTGCACTAAGTTTCTCAATAGTCCATATGTTGTAGCTCCCATCACACTTAGCAAAACGGCTACGTACTTCCCTTGATCTATGTCGTTAGCATCGAAAAACTGTTCCAGCCGCTCGACGTATGCAGTCCACGGCTCATTTTCTGGCTTGAATTCGTCGACCTTGCCGATTTGGGCCATTGTACTCACTAGTACCGACACCGTGTGCCTGTGTCCCTCCGCAAATTATCCCCGTCGCCAATTGTAGTGTATTTAATAAGACTCGGACAGTGATCACATTTCGTGACGAACTTTACTTAGCCAACAACCTGTCTGTCAGAAGCAACCAGACAAAGAGCATGCGTAACAAATGGACTATACCAAATCTCCAACAATAGGGGTGAATACACCACAGTCGTCTTTTAAGGAAGTCACCCAAGAGGACTTTCTATCTACAGTGAAGAACATGAAAGTAACCCCTTGTTGCCTTGATGTTGTCCCGGCCCGACTGCTTGTCAATGTTTTGGAATCGGTTGCTCCGTTAATCGTCAAAATGTTTAACCTTTCACTGTCGGCTGGTGTGTTCCCGGGCTCCCTAAACACGCTGTTGTGGAACCCCATTTAAAGAAATCGCGCTTGGATCCAGCAGACCTACAGAACTTCAGGCCTATCTCTAAGATTCCATTCTTGGCCAAAGTTCTGGAAACGGTCGCCTCTAACCAACTTACAGCATTCTTGGAGTCTAACAACATTTTCGACACTTTTCAGTCTGGTTTCAGGAAATTTCACTCGACTGAAACGTGTTATGGTCAGCTCCCGGCACAAGATATTCTAATCATTTAGGTC